TGTCGATTAGGAGTAGCTTCATCCATAGCTTGGAAAGCGCCCTCCGACCCAGCTGCCTGCAGAGTTTGAAGTTTGGCAGCAGCGTCAACCAGAACTTGGAGCAGTAGCTCCAACCTGAGTTCGGAGGGCACCCAGCCCCACAGCAGCCTGTGGAGTTCGAAGTTTGCAGTAATTTCAACCAGCGTTCGGAGAGCACTCAACTACTCTACACGGTTGTCTGTTGAGTTCAGCGTTTGGTGGTAGTCCAGTGCGCTGCCTATGGAGTTTGACGTTTGGCCGTAGCTTCAGCCAGCGCTGGGAGAGCACTTACCAGTAGCCTGCTGCTTTTGACGTGTGGCAATTGCCTTTATATGCGCTCGGAGCTTCTGCCCAACAATTGGAAAACGAGGCGACGCAGGTATCAAGTTTTCGTAATATTCCTGACGCATGGTACCAGTGCTGGCTTATGCAGATGCACCGTTTGAACATTCCCATTTGTAGCCTTTCCCTCTTTTCCCCCCCTCTCCCTTGCCCTCTTGCTTGTGCTGCTGCTTTGTCTGCCCTGCATGGCGCCATGACGTTTTTCGGAGCGCCGTGCCCCACTTGCGTCTTAACCCTCACGGGTGGAGACAACGTGGGTGCCCGTCCCCTTGCCGGGGGTCGTCTTCTCTCTCTCTCTCTCTCTCTCTCTCTCTCTCTTGTTGTTTCCGATGTGTCGCATTTCGCATTGGTTTTTACGGTGTTTTTGCCAATTCTCGACTTTGTGTACATGCCAGCTTAAACTTGCAATTTGTCTTTCAGCTCTGTGCGGTGGTGGGGGGGTGGATGGGGGGGGGTGATGACGTCCATGCGAATGCGGCTTGTGTCTTCTGTTTCTTTGGTTGCGTTGCTTCTCAAACGCTACCAGTTGCTATGTCCATTCGTGCTTCCCGTTTCTTGTTGCTTCACTTTGGAAACGTCCACAACGACAAAATTTCGTGTTTTTGAAGCTTTCCAGACAAAACTTCCAAAATGAGCCTGAAAATCATTATAAATCAGACACGAAAAACACGGTATTTGCGACACTTCTGCAAAAAACAGACCAAAATCACACGACAAAGGACTACAGAAATTTTGAACTCCGATACATCGTCTTGTTGATGAAAACCACGCAATTCTCGGAGTTTTCTAGCTTTTGACCAAAGAAACCTCCCAAACGTAAACGACACACCCGGCGCGGCGGCAGACGCAACGCCTTCCTTGTTGTTGTTGTTGTTGTTGTTGCCTTTGTCGTTGTTGTTGTTGTTGCCGTTGTCGTCGTTGTTGTTGTCGTTATTGTTGTCGTTGCTGTTGTTGTTGCTATTGATGTTATCGTTGTGTTTGTTGTCGCTGTTCTCGTTGTTCTTAGGCCGTTGTTGTTGTTGTTGTTGCTGTTCTTGTTCTTCTTATTATTCTTCTTGGATCTTCTTTGTTTTTTTTCTTGTTGTTCTCATTGTTACTATTGTCGTTTCGTCGTTGTTGTTGTTGTTGCTGCTGCTGCTTTTGTTGTTGTGTCACTGTGTTTGTCGTTGTTGTTGTTGCTGCTGCTTTTGCTACTACCCGATTGTAGTGCAGCTTCAAGAAAGCAGCAGGGTCTGCAGTTCAGAAAAGCCGGGGGGGTAAGGGGGAGGGAGAAAGCAGCAAAGTTTGCAGTTTAGAAACAGCGGGGGTGCAAACCTTCCAAGCATGACTTTGTTCTCCATCTTGTGTGTTGGAGAAGACGCTTTTACTTGTTTATTCGTTTTACAAAGGAGACTCTCTTTCACTTTACTTTGTTTTCTTGCTTGTTTACTCCCCAGCGACTACGTCTGGCTTTCGCCTTCTTGTCTGTCGGTGAAGACGTTTCATTCATGATTATTCCATTTTCCTCGCTTTCAAAGAAGCAGAAAAGCAAGAGAAGCGGAAAAGCAGACAAGCAGGGAAGCACGAAAGCAGAGGAAAGCAGAAAGGCAGAGGAAAGCAAACAGCACAAGAGCAACAACAAATCCACAAGAAAAAACAAAACAACATCCTCGGATAAATCGGATACCTTTGTTCTGGGGTTGTATATAATGCGAAGTCTTCGTGCGAGTCTCGGTGGCCAAGCAAGCTTTCAACATGTCGTCAAACTTTGTCTGCGCGCATGCCGGCTTCTCCAAAGGATTTTCGACTGGTAGGTTCCTCCAAAGCCCTAAACCCTAAACCCAGTGAAGTTTGCCCTCAGTGATTACACGTAGGTGTCACACGTACCGAGAGACCTCGTCTGGCGGAGTCCAAGTTGCAAGAGTGTAAACCCCAGTGGAAGTCGAAACAGATTGTACTACCCTAAACCCTAAACCCTAAATCGGCATTCCTGGTGCCCGTGCTCTGTTTCTACAGTGTGGTTTCATGGGCCGCTCTGAGCGAAGGCCAGGGCTTCGTGAAGATCTCGGAAATCGAAGCCACGAAGCGCTTGAATGACTCCCTGGAGCAGGTTGCAGCTCCGTCTCCTGTAGCATGCCGCAGGAAGAGAGCGAGAGAGAGAGAGAGAGAGTGTCCTACAAAGAACGAGTGAACATCGTACTCTGACATCGTATACTTTATGGCTTTAGCCTAAATGATGTTCGCCGTTCTCTCTTCACCCCCCGAGTCCGTCAAGACGACGGATGGGCACGATGCCAGAGGGCGCTGACCCGCCCTCATGCCCGGGAGAGAGAGAGAGAGAGAGAGAGAGAGAGAACGAGAGGGAGGGTAGAGGGGGAGAGGGAGAGAGAGAGAGAGAGAGAGAGCGGCGGTCTTCATGCCCTGGGGAAGATGCGATGCGTTTTGGTCTCGGTAACTGCCCCCACGAACCGATGCACTGGGTAGCCTGAGGGCTTGTAACGCTGTGAACAGTGAAACAAACGTTGGGTAGCGGCCTGCTCTCTGCGGCGAGCAGCTCCCCAGATGGCAAGTGTATAACTTGCGGGAGACTCTGGATTTCGAGCTGAAGCCTCGGCCTTTGCTGTCCTGAATCTGCGGAGGTGTGGAGGACTGCTTTTCCAGGAACCAAGTTCTGTCTGAAGTCTACAAGAACTGTCCCCACTCATGCTAAGATGAAGATGTTGCAGCCTACCCAAAGGCTCGCTGATCCACCTTCGGTTCCCCGGCATTCACCAGGCAGAAATGTATAACGGGATGGGAGTAGACATGACGGAGGACTTCCCACAATCGGGTACTGTAGGAGCCTTGCCAGGGAGGATTTCCCTGCTGACGAGGGCGGTCCGCGGTTGACATGGAGTCTGGTGTCGATCCTGGCCTCCGAATGTTATGAGATTGCAGTGGGCATAAGCCGTGGTGGAGAAGGGCAACAGAGACAGAGCAGAGAAAGACCTCAAAGGAGGCCGGCAGCCATTCCCGGCGAAAGAAAGAGAAGGGAGAGGGAGAGAGGAGAGAGAGAGATGCAAATGACTCTGAATTCATGGGCTGCCGTTTTTGGGAGCCTGTGAAGGAGAACGCAGTGCTGGAAGCTGAAGTGGCGGAACTCCTGCGGTGGCAGCCTCGGTGGTGAAGCAGCCGTCAAAGCTTCGTAAATCAGCGTTGTGGCTTGTATATGCGCAGCGTTTACGCTGGCTGGTGTACAATATAAGGACCGTACTCCGATTTCTTGACTGCCATTTCTCACATATCAGCCCTTCTAGGGCCCTTACAGCAAAAATCCTAAACCGGAACCCTTCGCAAAAGGGACCCTTGTCCGACAAAGGCAAAACCTGCAACTGCGAGACAACATCGCCAGTCCTGGCCTCATCTTGAAGCGCACATGTCAGATTTCGGGTCTCTGATGCTGAACGGGTGCTTTAATGGTAGCAGTGTTCTCTGTGGGGTTCACTTCGAGTTGCTGTAAGTGATCGACTCTTGCTCCCGCTCGTGTTTCACACCCTCGCGGTCTGTTGAGCTCTCTCTCTGACTCTCTCACTGTATGTGTTGCTGTCTCTCTCTCTCTCTCTCTCTCTCTCTCTCTCTCTCTCACTGTCCTTCTCATTGTCTCTCCCGCTGTGTCTCTCTGCCACTCTCTCGCTAGGTAAAGCAACGGTCGCATTGTCTATATGTTATGATATGTTTACGTGTGTGACAGCGTGTGTATGTGTGTATATGTGTCCCTGTGTGTCTGTGAATCCGTCTGTCGGTCTATTCTATCTAATTAGCCATTCAACGATTGAGACAAGCACTTGGCACTAGCCGTGGTTTGTCTGGGGTATCCATGAGTTTGCTGGGTATCATCCTTCTTGCAACCGGTTATGTCTCCAGTGGACCTTAAATTCTCAGCCCTCAGCAAACCCGCAACCTCCCACCCAAAACCAGTGACTCCTAAAACCCTTAGATCAACCCCAAATAACAAACTGTAGAAATCCTATACACCCCACAAAGCCACATAAACCCTAAAACCCCGCCTAAACCCCAAACCCTAAACCCTAAACCCAAAAAGCACATAAACCCTAAAACCCTGCGCTCTGCAGGCATGGAGTTGACCCTGGGCCGGAAATCGGACACCGAAGAGGATACTCAGGCCCAAGACGCCGCCTTTGCGACATCATCGAGTAGAAGACCCCCGGTAAGGTGAAGGGTTCAGGGTTTGGGGTGAGGTTTGGGGTTTAGGGTTTGCGGTATACCAGGAACCATATGCGTAGTCCAGGTGTAAAATGGTTTGCGGTATGGGGTTTAGGGTGTAGGGTTTAGGGAGCAGTGCCTGCCAGTCTAGAACCTGGCAGCTGTCAGTGCAATGGCCTGTGGTTGTCTTTCTGTGTGTCGTCGTTTCGCTGCTATTCTGTGGTTTCCAGTGTCCTCGTTGTTTTGTTTTATGTTCTTGCTGCTTGTCTTCGTTATTGTCGTAGTCGTTGCCGTCGTTGGTCTGCGTCTCGCCCTCCATGCTACTTCCATGCGCACCACGGCCTTTGCGAAAGAAGGGATGCGCTGCCTGCACCCGCCTCTGGGCTCGAAGGATCCCAGTTTTAGCTCCATCGCCTAGGGTGCGAAGAAGGGGCTGCAGGAGTCCTTCGGAGGGAGCGATGGCTCCGGCTGGCTTAGACCTTTCGCTGGAAGAGGCCGCCCTTGCTTACTCTGCCTTCGCGTTTGAAGCTGGCTGCGGGCACAGATGTCCGCTTGCAGGTCATCAAAACCTCCAAAGGGGATGGAAGGGGCAAAGGCGGGCGAACCAAGGACCTCCCTCCAAGCTCCATCTGCCCCTCGACAGGAAGAAAGCAGGAGGCTGCAGCCAAGGAGTCCAAGGCAGAGAAGGAGGAAGAGATCAATCTGGACCCTGTGCAGCGAAAGGGTCCGATTTTGTTCTGATCACGTCTCTGCTCCTTCGTGGGGCTCGTCGTCGGCTGGTCCTTTGCTCGTGGGTAGTGGTGGTTGTGGTGGTCGAAACTGAGTGGGCTTGTAGCTGCAGCAGTTGCAGAAGTAGGAGCAACGTTGGGAAGCTGCATCGGTTCAGGGCAGTGGTGAGGCTCGCGTTGCGCTACGTGCATTGAGGACATGAGCCTGGACGAACTCATCGAGAAGGAGTATGTGCCAGCGAAGGAGTCGTTCTTGGGACCGTTCGGGTGTTTCGAGTGTCAGGCATCTTCTGTTGAAGTGCTGAGCCCGAAGTCTCTGGCCAAGTGCTGACGGCTTGTTCCCACCCCAGGGTCCAACTTGTGCGTACACATGCGTGTACAAAGGTGGTGTGCGTTGATGATGTGTCTTGTTGTGATTTCGCCTGTGCACACGTCGGAACATGAGTAGGCAGGCACAGGTGAGCAAACATATGTGAATGCATCCACGTGAGCTCATGGGCACGTCACTAGATTGGCTTTGCAGGGCAAGGGCAAGGGCAAGAAGGACGAGTCCTGGGACAGTTGGCAGCCGGAGCGTGCGCCGAAAGGCCCGGTGGCAAAATAAAGGCTTCTTTTCGTTCTATTCAGGTTTCTTACTAATTACTAATATGTGTATATATATATATACATATGGTAGCCCCCCGAATTATCTACAAGATTTGGTGTAAATCCTGTGTATTCTGCCCCTGACCTCTCCCCACTCCCTTGCCACCAGTTTCGCAGACTGCTCTGTATATGTGTATGTGTATACTCTAAACCGTCGTACGCATGCAGTAGTAAGCAATACAACCGATGCCAGAGCACATGCCTGCACATGTGTTTAGGGCAATGAGACGGTCCCGATGCATCCCGGCTATTGAGTTCAACTTCAATTCCGAGGATTGAACTTCCATACTCCGGGATCCAAGATTCAAGATTCATGATTCCGGGACAAAGTTTCCCCAGGATCTTAAATCCTGAATCTTGGATCCAGGGGTATTGAAGTTCAATCCTGGGGATTGAACTTCGATGCTCCGGACTGTCAACACGCTTCTCGGGAATAATGTTTAACGAAATCAGCCCGCTTATTAATACATAGGCCTTTCATTATTCTGGCGGCTTAAATGAAGACTAGCAGAAATGCACGAGGCTCTGATACTAAAGTGCTGATGCACGCAAATCGAATTCACGATGAACAACACTAGCATGTACGGCTGTTTTCCGCGTTGTTGACTGAAGTCTATGGTAAACGGCTACAGATAAGCAGTTCTGGCAGCCCCAAAGTTATCGTAACAATACACTCAAGAAGAAGACGTCTTTTCAGATTCTTACTGCTATGAGTGCTGCATGATTGCCTACCCTTCTAGAGTTGCATGCAATCAAGCACACGATGAACAATACAAGCATGTAGCGTTGTTTGCAGTGTCTTGCTGATTGAAGTTTATTGGAAAACGGCTGACAATAGACAGGACGGGTAGCCCCAATATTGTTCGTGGTCGTGACAAAAACCTAAGAATGACACGGCTTTTCATATTCACCCTACCAAGAGTGCCAGCATAACAGCCTACCCTTGTAGAGTGCAAATCAAATCCACGATAGCATGTAGCATTTTTTCCGTATCTTGTTTTCTGAAATCTATTGGAAATGGCTGAAGGTAATCAGTACTGGTAGCCCCAACATAATTCTTGATCGTAATAGTGATATAATAGTGGTCGTAGCACTGAACCTAAGAATAACACGGCTTTCCATACTCTTCCTTCTATGCGTGCCAGCCTGATCTTGAGGCGTAGCCGTTTAGGAATCGGAATGAAGCTGAAAACTGGGGTGAATTCATGTCACCCAAGCAGGGTGGCACTATTGTCAGAGCATGGAAAAACGCAACAGTTACTTTCAATGTCAGGGCCAAGGCCAAGCTGAATGTTCGGATTGACGTTGTCTAGCATCAGGAATCACTCCAGTTTCATGGTGATTCTTAAGGTTCCTATTGGGGCCTTATCTCTTGTTTGGCTGCAACAGTTAGACGTGCCATTGAAGTAGCAGCCGATTTTGAATTTGGGAGAAAAAAGTGGGCTGTAGAGAATACTGCTATGGCGGTGAATATATGGGCATGAGAGGTGAATAATGCTATGAGGGCGAATGACGTTAGTGTTAACCATTCCTGTTACGTTTGCTCGCAGTACTTCAGGATTATAAACGCTGTCTTGAGGCCAACGTTAGCGTTGTCACTTAGGCCAGTATTGGGCTGCCACTTAGGTCATTATGGGTTTGCTATTGGTCCAAATGACAACTCTGATATTACCCTCTCAAGCATTTCAATAGCCTCAAGACTCAACTGCACGAATTTCATGTGTCATGAATGGCTACCCCAGTCCCAGAATTTAGTCGGGGCCCTTCAATATTCGCTTCGCGAACGCGATTCTCCCTGTGCATGCTTCTCTAGATTGGGGGGGTTGCCATGCTTCGGCACGCACTTATGACAAGAGTCACGTCGTATTACTTTAAGGTTCGAACAGGTCGGGTGCGACAACAGGCAGGGAGCGCAGCCCGGGAAATGGGCCAAGTCGGTGATTTTCATCCAAAAAAGATAACCCAGGGGGGTGTAATATATATATATATATATACATATATACACACACAAACATATACACATACACATACACATACATATACACATACACATACACATACACATACACATACATATACATATACATATACATATATAGATATACAGATATACAGATATATAGATATATAGATATATAGATATATAGATATATAGATATATATAGATATATAGATATATAGATATAAAGAACTGGCCGAAGTTTATTGGAAGGTCGCAGCCTTCAAGCCTCAGCCTGCCTTGATGGCCTTTCAGGAAAGTCCTGGGATGCAGCAGCAGATTGGAGTTATGAAAAGCCCAAAAACGCAGGTGCGCCTTTTGGGTTTCGGCTTTGTTCCTGGTGTTTGGCTTTCGGGGTTTCGATTTAGGGTTTTGTGACTGCTGCTCTCGTAATTTTGTTGTTGCTGCCGCTGCTACACTGCTGCTCCTGCCACTGCCCCTGTATGCTAAGAAAAGCAGCAAAGAATTGTGTGTACAACTTGCAGGACAAGTATTGACACAGAAATGCGTCGGGATGAGAATAGGTATGGCAATGCTGCTAGCACCAAAGATGGCAGTAATGACACCTAACATCACCATGGCACTGACTAGAAGTAGTGTCATCGTTTGTCGAAGTTGCTGTACAAGCACTTTTAGTTTTTTTCTTTTCGCAGTTTCGCTGCAACGCGAGGCAGCTCGTGGAAAGATTGGAAAGACACGGACAAATGGAAGCCAGCAGGTCGAGCATCCACTGCTTCCGGTTTCGCGGTTTAGGGTACGAGGGTCGGGACTTTACCGTAACTTTGGGCTGAGGATTGTGGGTTCAGGGCGGAGTACGTCCGGCCCCAGCCCGTGACTCAAAAAGGGCGGAGTATGTCAAACGAGATCTTGTAATTAGTGAATGCGGAGATAGTTCCAGTTTCTTGGCTCGCTAGCGTTTGGAACCGCAGCCAGCACAACTGAGCTTCAGAGCGTAGGCGGACTTGCTAGCTGACACTAAGAGCCCAGCTGCAAAAAGGGCAGAGTTCGGACACTTCCTTTGCGGTTGTGTCTCATGCTATGGAGGGAGTCACAGGCTTGTGGTCACTTTGGCTTCATATAGGGGCCTTAAGAGGTGGTGGTATCGTACAATACTTCTGCAGGGATCGTATTTCAGATCTCTACAAAGGAGGGTTTGGGGTTCGGGGCTTGGCCTCCGGGGGCGTAGGCGTGGCTAGGGTTTTCAGGTGAGCTGTAGGATGGCAAAGAGGACGGTTTAGGGTTTAGGTTTCATCAAGACAGAATCAGCAAGAACTGTACTTTGAGACACTAGTATCATGCCTACATGCTAACCTAACAAATCCGAAATCCGAACCCCAGACCCCTGAAACCGAAGTCGTAAGCAGTTCAGGTGGTGGTGGAGCCAAGTGGAAGGAAGCCGAAACTTGGAAGGAGCCGGACACGTGGAAGAAGAACGATTGGAAGAAGGCCAGCCGAGCACTGCATAAATCATCATGATAGTAAGACTAGTATTAGCAGTCACAGAAAAATGCTAGTAATAATAATAATAAAAGCGATCCCCAAGCAGTGGAAGCACTCTGTGGACGAAGCCCTTCTCCTACATATTCAAGAACTATTTGCAGAGCACCCCGGGCCCAGGAGTGTAACATGCGTACCTTAGAGCACTCACAGGTCTGTGGCTATAACAAAAGTCCCGTGACAACTCGCACCCCAAAATCTGCGGCGCAGCAGTGTGGAAGGAAGCGCCTTTTCCAATTTTATCAAATCCCTGGGACCGCGAGTTCCACCTAAAGACATGGTGCCAAATGGCGGGCGCGCCATTCATCAAGTTGGTCAGCACGAGAGGTTGGGATGTTACCATTCGGTCGGGGCCCGAGAGTAGCCGAAAATGTGCACCATGTGCCCCGACTTATCCCAACCACTATACCTTTGCAGTGTAGCGCCGAGCACTAGAACAAAACGATCCACAGCACATCTTCGACTGAGCTCCCAGGCAGAAATGAAAGCGAACACATGTGGGAGTTTCTGAAATTGAGGGGTACCTTAATTTGGGGTCCTTATGATAAAGATCCTATTAAAAAGGGTGCCATATTAGGGTCCCCTATTTTCGGAAACTCTCACATGTATCGTGCTTCGAACCCAAATCCCGAAAGCTGAAAAACGACCCGAAGCTTCGAACACGTTTTCCTTCCGAAGCTTCAAGTCTTTCGTAAACCCCTAATGGGGACCCCTACCCTATAATGGGCTCTATAGTGGGTATATAGTAGCTATGTTAAGGGTATATAATATACCTAGGACTCTCCTCCCTAATCCCTAAACCCGAGTGTGCGCGCCGAAACCTTAAACCCTAAACCCTAAACCTTAAACCCTAAACCATAAACCCTAAACCCTAAAGTCCGTAGTTGCGAAGACTGGCAAGGCGGATGGCTGGAAAACAGATTGGAGCAGCCAAAGCCAGGGTCGGGAACCCAGGGAGGGTTTTGACCATCGGTTTCAAGCTGTTCCAAGCCCGATTTCGTGTTGTGAAATGGTTGACGCTGTCTGCATTTCTTCGTCGTCATCTTTTTTTCACTTTTTGTCTTTCCTCTTAGTTTATGCTTGCGCTTGTATCGATGCTTTCACTCCTCTCTCAAAAGATCGCACAGACAGCTGTCATGACTCTCGCTGCTGGGTTTTGTCATTACCGGGAAAGAGTTCAGTCTTAAAGGCGCCTAACTGGGCCTGACTACCTCTAGATCTTCATGAGGAATCTGAGGCCTCTGTTAAAGGAAGCCTCGCAGTAAGCGAAGGGCCGCGTGGCACTCTCTTGCATGGCACCCTCTGAGGTAAGCAAGACTGGTCAAGTGGCGCGGGCCCGCATCTGAGTTCGCAGACCTCAGTGCGCCTAGAGCCTCAAGTACTTGCTTGCCCGCTGTTCGATGCATTCAAAAAGCTTGCAACCGAAGTTTTCAGAAAAGGTCCGCGGTGCAGACCTGAAGTGTTGCAATCGAAGCCCAGACCCTTGAACCCGAAGTTGCCTGGCAGCCCCAAGCCTTCTGTCATCTTTAGAGGGAGGGTTGGATTTCGCAGAGTCATGCCGCTAGTTACCTTCTTGTGCATTATCTTGATAACACAATATGCCACACACTATGTAGTATCTCTCATATACTCTTGTTCGTATCATAAACACACAAATATCTATCTATCTATCCATCTATCTATATGTATATATATATATATATATATATGCACGTCTTTGCACAATATATAATGTGATAGTCTAGTACAGTTTTATGTTATTCCACGTTATATTACATATGTATTTTAGCTTTCCTGTCTAACCCGATCCTTCTAATTACTACATCCCATGGTTCTCTGAACAAACTCTGGGTCCTCGTCCAAAACTAGATGGACCCTCCGGCCCCGTAGCCAAAACGTGGTTGTTAAAAATATGTTGTAATTTCTATGTATACACACTGTATCTTTATTCATCTATTTATCTAGCTACTTATATATATATATATGTATACATATATATATGTATATATATATATGTATATATATATATATATATATATATATATATATTTAAGTATACATATGTATAACTAACCTTATCCTGGAACCCGAATTCTTAACTCTCAAAGCCTCCAACCCACGAGTCCGGAATCACCGCTACTCGTGGGCATTCGTAGTCGGCTGAGGTTCAGGCAAGTGGGATGACGACTGGAAAGCAAAGTCCAGCCAAGAGCTCGGGGTCGAGAAGTGCGATATGCCACGATCTGTTCCTTTCTACTTGGTACTTCCAGCTCCCTTTATGTGTTTCCTTCCTCCTTTGTCGTTGCTCTAGTTGCTTATTTGGGGTTTGAGTTGTCTTTCCATGGTTGCTGACAATGTTATTCTGAACTGTGCAGCATGTTCAACCCTTGCCAAGAAATCCATGTTGAGATGCTTGCGACAACGCTGAACTGAACTTACATTGGATGGTTGCAGGGTGCATTCTGACTCTCGGCATGCTGACTGTCGGCATGTGTTGCACGAAGTCTTTTTCATCAGCTGACTCCAGTTTGGCACTCTCATCATTACATATATATATATATATGTATGTATGCATGCAAAAAATCTCTCTTTTTCACAGGCTCTTTCTCCATCTATTTCGCTCTTGCGTGACGGATCACACGGATTGACAGCTTTCCTAGTCCCAGGTCGACACAGCAATTTCTCATAAGAACAAACAGCATATGCATCGACAGCACATTGTGGGGACATGCCGAAGACTAATGACCGCCTCTGAGAGCAGCAGAACGGGTACTTAAAGGATCATGGGACTTAGTAATTAGGGTTATGGCTAGAGTAACTATACTTATAACCCCTACTAAGGTACTTATAACCTTACTTACTAAGTCCCATGATCCTCCAAGTAGTGATGTCAGCAAAGCAAAGAAACCCAAGCTCCGCAGGCAAAAGTCAGGACTGGGGCTATGGCGCCACCAAAGCTTCATGGGGCAGCGAGGGGCCTCAGTCCTCCAGGGGTTCAGAAACCCTCAGCCCGATCGCCAAATCCTGCACCCCTAAGACCTGAGACTGAAAAAGCTCCAAATGCAAAACCCCCAATGTCGAAACTCTGAGATCTTTAAGCCGTAGATAAACAGCCCCTTAGCCGCAGCCCTAATCGCTGGAATCCACGAGGCAACAAGGGAGCATTTATGGCTGGATCTTAGATGCTGTGGATATCAACTTAAGACGGCAGGCAGGGCTTGGCCACATAAATGGCTGCGCACATGAGCGTTACATGGGGTCGCGCGCTTAACGCGACCTCGGTACGCGGAATCCAGACAGAGATAAAGGTTTTTTGTTTGCTTTAAAAAATGCTTGTTTGTCGATAGCTCTTTGCACTTTGTCATCCTCTGCCGTTGCGCCCAGGACGTCGAAGCCATAAGGCCTTAACAGACTCAATTCAGCCTTACTTGGATATTGAAGGCTCTGCAAGCCCCCAAAACACATAACACCCTCAACATGAAAGCAATTCGTGTTTACTTGGATATTGAAGGCTTTGAAAGCCCCCAAAGCACATAACACCCAACACCTGCAGTCCCTAAGCCCTAAACTGCCCCAAAGAACTTCAAAAAAACCAAGAACCTCCCCAAAGTCATCAACGTCTTTACATAACTTCTCGAGCCCAAGCCCCGGAGCCGCTAAAGCCCCTGAAGCCCGTAAGCCTTACCAGCCCCTAAAGCCTGAAGCCCCCCAGAGCCCTACAGTCTCTAAAGTCCCTAGAGCACCTAAAGCCCTTGTCCGAGTGTGACCGCCGAAAAGCCCAAAACCTGAAGCACTAAACTTCGAAGTGCCTGAGGCCCCCTAAACCCTAAAATTCGCCTGGATTGTCCGAGTGTGAGCGCCGAAACCCAAAAACTTGTCTGAGTGTGGGCGTCGAAGCCCCTAAGCCCCAAAACCATGATCAGGTTCGAGCCAAAACTGGCAGTCCCAAAGCACTCGCGTCGTCGAAGGCCGGCATCGTCCCGTCTACGACACTTTACGGGGTTTAGTAGGGTTTAGGGTTTAGGGTTTTTAGGGCTTTCAGGGTTTTTAGGCCAAATGAGCATACAAAGGTTGAGTCTGATTCTTGATGCCTCTATCTTTTTGTTTCCGCGCGATCTCCGATGTACCGGCTGCCGCCGGCTTCAGAAGGTCCTAGGATGCTTTGAGTTTTTGAGGGTTTTGGGGCAAAGGTTTCAGGAGGTTTAGAGAGTCCCCAAAGGTGCGCTACTTTCTGGGCCTAGGCTTCGGCTCCTGACAGGGTTCCGAAAAAAGGAATCGAGAAGGTTTGGGGTTTCAGGTTGAGGATCTCAGGGTGTCAGGGGGTTGACCCAAACACGTGGTTTCTTAGGGGTACTTAGAAATACTTTTTAATTTTTGGTTATTATAATCCAAAGAAACAGCTAAAATTACAACTTTTGCTAGGGTTCTAAGTTCAGTATAGGTTTGGGACCGAAGTGTCCGGGGCTGGGAGATTCTGTTTTTGGACTGGTTTTCGATTTTGTCTATTGCTGTGTTCATCTGTTGTTGCATGAATAGCGGTCAAGCCGCCCCACGAGACATGCGCCGGGCAAGGGAACGCCACCCGATATCATCGTCGTCCTCGTCACCAAGATCTTCATGAAGCTGTTTGTGATTGATTTGGCGATCGTGGTGGTGGGATGGTGATGGTGTGGTTGATGGTGTGCATGACTTTTTGTGGAGGCTTGGGTGGTCGTGGACTGCATGAGAACCCTCGGATAAAGAAACACACTCACGTCATCCTGGACACGAGTCCCCACCCAGGTGAACCCCAAAACGAGGATCGGAACCTCAAACGAGCTCCTTCGGAAGTCTTTCAGATCGCAAGAGATACCTCTAAGCACTAAGCTACACCGTATACCATCAGCTGCGCTTGTCAGGACGGGGCTGGTCGGATCACCGCTCTGCCGCGGCCTTGAGTGGCCGTACAGGGTCTGGGGTTGCAGACGGGTTTAGGATCTAGTGGTTTAGGATTTCTGCATGATGTCTTGTGTGTTTCCTCTTTCTTCAGGGTACCCGGCAGTCGTAATAGGCCTGGATGCAAAAAGGATTTCTGCATGATTGCAAGTCGTAGTCTTAAGATTTGAGTCCAGTAGCAAAAAAGGGTGAAAAATGACAGCTGGAAGCTAGAGGCCAGCTGGAGAACAAGATTCTATGTCCGTAGAAGCCTCTGTGTCGTTTTGCTGAGTTCTATGTTGGTCAGAACCGGGGCAACCCTTTATGATGTCAGTTCTAAAACTCCAGAAAACCCCGCAGGAGACTTCTGCAATCAGCACTCTTTTATCAGAGCCCTATTAATAGAGCCCTATCATCACAACCCTAGTGTAAGAACCCCATAAAGCGAATCCTGCAGTGCATATGCGATGGTAAGAACCCTATACACTCAGAGTCCGGCAACCAGAGCCGTTTTATAAGAAGCCTTTGGCAAAAAGAAACGCTGCACTAAGAACCCTACAATGATGCTTGCAGTTCGAACCGAACAAAAAACAAACAGAAAGAACCCTACAGCAAGAACCCTGGACAGCCGTGAGGCAATGAGCACCCTAAACCTCAAACCCTAAACCCTAGACGCAGAGGACAGGGCACTGTTCAACGAACAAAAACAACTTTAAACGTAGTCAGAGTAGTGATGATCTTGACGGTGATGGGCGGGATGTGGTGGAGGATAGGTGCATATTCGGCTCCCTTATTTTCGGAAACTCCCATGTTGTTCGGGAGGATGATGTCCAGGAGTAGTTCTGTGGTCTTCAGAGTGTAAGCTCATTCGAGCCAAGGCGACAGCGCCAGTGCAAAAGTTTCATTGCACCTTAATTAAGAAACCCTAAACCTAAGCCCTAAACCCTAGGCACTAAACCCCTCGCTAACCTTCGGGACATGGAGAAAAGAGGGTTCAAAAAAAAAAAAAAAACCCAAAGCCGAAGTCCTGAACCCTAAACTCCAAACTCCCTTTGCCTTGCAGTCGGCTTGGGTTAAATTAGCTTCGAAACCGGAAGCTCCTGTCAGCTGTTACTGAACTTACCCTGCAATGCAGGCGTCGTCCTTGCTCAGTAGAAGGGAAGATAACGCCCTGAACCCTTAACCCCAAACCCTAAACCCTAAACCCCAAACCAAACCCTAAACCCTAAACCCTAGACTCTACACCCCTCTAAACCCCAAACCCCTGAGCCCCAAAAGCCTCCCTGAGTCGCTGAGGCAGAGTCCGTCTGGACCCGACCAGCAAAGACGGAGAGCGAGCGCGAGGTTCGAGCTCCGGGTTCTTTGTTTCGAGGTTTTGGGGAAGGGTTCTGGGTTTAGGGTTTTGCATTAAGGGTTTAGGGTTTAATACGTTTGGGTTTTGGTTCAGGGTTCTGGGTTTAGGGTTCGGTGGAGGCCGTGATGCGAGGATCTGGCTGCAAAAAGCGGGCCGTGATGCAGGGATGTGGCTAGTCCCCAAGCCCAGTTGCAAAAAGGGTTGAGGGTTTTGTGTTGAGGTTTCTGGGTTTAGGGTTTTAGGTTCAGTGTTCTGGGTTTAGGGCTCTCTGTTCCGGGCGAGAGACGCCTGCTGCAAAAGGGTTCTGGGTTTTGGGTACAGGGTTCTGCGGGTTCTCGGGCTTGAAAGGGCTTGAGCATCCTTAAATTCTGCTGGATGCTCGACATACAATTCGCCAGATGCCGACCTAAATAAACCCTAAACCCTAAACCCTGATTTGTCCGAGTGTGAGCGCCGAAACCCTGATTAGTGGGCCTCGTCCTTGCTAAGTAGGAGGGAAAAACCCTGATTAGTATACCCTTCTGCACCCTTTTTTCGGATCCCACTGGCCTCCCCCACTTGCGTAACCCTAAACCCTAATCCCTGAACCCTGATTAATACCATTTTTAACCCCTTTCTTCGGATCCCACTGGCCTCCCCCGGTTGCGTCGTCAGGAGCGGTGGAACTCAATGGCTCCTCACAGCTACAGCGACGTGCGAGACAGACGGCTCGCATCCGAGAGCTGGTTTGGAGTTGTTGAATCTACGAGCTATACCATAACGGAGTAGATTATCGTATATGATCGTAATAGTACTAATAATAATAACAATAATAATAATAATAATAATAATAATAATAATAATAAAAATAAAAAAATAAAAATAAAAATAATAAAAATAAAAATAATAAAAATAAAAATAATAAAAATAAAAATAATAAAAATAAAATAAAAAAAATAATAATAATAGTAGTAATAATAATAATAATAAAAATAAAAATATAAAAATAAAAATAAAAATAATAAAAAAAAATATAATAATAATAATAATAATAAAGAAGAAAATAGAAATACGACTACTAATAATAGAAAGAAGAAGAATGATAACAGTAATAATAAGATTATATGTATATATATATATGTATACACATATAATACACTCCATTATGGGTTCGAAACTGATTTGAAATCACGCCGGCCGGTGGATCAATCCGGAGCCCGACACCCGTCGCAGTTGCACCCCCAGAATGTTGAAGCGAAACTCGTGCTATGGAGGATACTTGTAGAACTGCTGGACTCCACGTCTGAACCCTTCCGCCCAAATAAGAGCTCCTATGTTCGCAGCTTTTGGCCTGACGCCTCGAAAATCACCCCTTAAGCCCCGACCCAGGTTCGCCACATGGCGGGATGATCGCAGGGAACATGACTACCGATCCGCTGCCGCACTTGATTGGGGCTGTTCGAGTTCTGGGCACCTGCCGGTTCTCTTCGGCAAGGGCTGCTAGCTGCTAGAAGGCGCTAGAAGCTGCAGCTGCGTCTGCCGCTGCCACTGCCACTGTGGCCACGGCCACTGCCACTGTCCGTCCTCCACGAGCTGTGCCAGAACCTGTGCAGAATGCAAAAGCTGCTCAGGGTTTAGTGTCTGGGTTAGGTTGTTTCCGTGTTTCTGAAGCTTTTGCATGTGACTGCGAGGAGATAATGGCTATGACGCAGCGCTCTCAGTGAACCGGACACGGAGTGGACACGACGTGCGCTCATGCCGGACCATAGCCACATGAGACATGGTTGCAGCACACAGTTCATGCACTTACTCCGGACCCCACCTCGGAAGTGAATCCACGCCAAGCCCAATTACCTGAACTTGCGGGCTCGATGTCGGCTGAGGCTAGAGATCGCCGTGACCTCCTCAGACCGCCTCTTTCTGCGTTTTCTCGGTAGGCTCTGAGGCCCGAAGTGCTTGCGGGGGTTATAATAATGTAATAATAATAATATAATAGAATAATAATACTAAGAATAAGAATAAGAATAATCATAATAGTAATATTAATAATAAGTAAGAGAAGTCAGGTGAGCCGGATAGCCAATGGCCCCGGGGCCGCTCGCGCTCTCCACCGCGTCGTTATTACGATGAAGTTCCCAGGCAGGTTCCGGATTTTCGATTTAGGGTTTAGGGTTTAGGGTTTATTCGGGCCTTTGTGTGTCTCAGGCCCAGAGTTCAAGATATGTTCAAGATGCGTGGCGCCAGCCCTCAGTGCAGGGCGTGTGGCTCGAGAAATCCTAGCTGCCCAAACCCTCTTGGGAGTTTCCGAAAATAGCGGACCCTAATCTGGTCCCTAAATAGTAGGATCCCGATTATAAGGACCCCCAGATAAGGTACCCCAAATTTTCGGAAACTCCCTCTTGGAAGCAAGCCACGATCCCTTTGCAGTTTAACCCTCCGCCCCAAAAGACTCCGAGCTGAACCCGAAGGGAAAGCGTGGAAAGGAAGTGTCCAACAGACAGGGGGTGCTACGGTTGATGATATAAATCCTGCATTACCTTAAAAACCCTAAACTATGGGAATCATGGTATACTCCTTATTGTGGGTCATGCAGGGTTTACATCATCAACAGTAGTATTGCTTCTGCAACATTGCATGCTGCTGCTCTGCCCTTTTCCTGCGTTAGCTGCGCGATCGAAAAAGATAACGCCACAGGCAGTAAGAAGACCTCTGTTTCTGTTGGCCAAGAAAACGGGACCCTGCCCAGGGGGAGCATGATCCTGGTCGAGAACATCCCTCCGGGCCTAGACTCGCGGGACCTCTTGGTGTCAGGGTTTCAATACTACTAGCGCTACTACGACGACGACTACTACTACGACTCCTGCTGCTACTATTGAGTATCTACTACTAAGTTACTACAATGCCAACTGCTAGTAGTAGTAGTAGTACTACTACTACTACTACTGCTACTGCTACTGCTACTGCTACTGCTACTGCTACTGCTACTGCTACTGCTACTGCTGCAGTATTACACTACTTTGACTACAGTTACTACTACTACTACTACTACTACTACTACTACTACTACTACTACTACTACTACTACTACTACTACTACTACTACTACTACTTCTACTACTACTACTACTGCTACTGCTACTACTACTACTACTACTACTACTACACCACACCGCCTGCGAACCACTCATGTCACCAAGGATGCAGTTGATGTCGATCTGGAACTGCGCGTGAAAGTCGGTGCAGCGCCACCCGAAACGCGTATTGGGACGACTGGATACGGGGCAGTGCCCATGCTACAGCTGCCCTCTCTTCGACCTTTGGTGCGAGGGACATGAACAGGCTAGTTCATGCTGGGATTCTGGATGCAGTGGATGCAGTGGACCACCCAGCAATGCGTGCAACATGGAAGACACAGTTACCGGACTGGACCGAGCGCTGGACTGCCTTCGAGAAAGAGAACACGTGGAAAACATGTGCACCCTGGGGCTCACATGAGACGACCTGGACGCACCTCAACCCCGTGGGAATAGCTGCGTGGACTGGGCTCTGGCCATGAGGATGGCTAGCCGCATTTTGATGCGACCTGGACACACCGCAACCTCGAGGGAAGAGCTACGTGGACTGAGCTCTGGTCAAGGGGATGGCTAGTCGCATTTTGCTGCACCCTGGGACTCACCTGAAAGACCTGGACGCACCGCAACCCCGAGGGAACCGCTGCGTGAACTGGGCTCTGGCCAAGTGGATGGCTAGTCGCATTTTGCTGCACCTTGCCAGTGATGGACGACCATGTGTGAGATTGCTGTGTCGGCAGTGAGAGCGAGCAGTGAGAGCAGTCGAGCCTGGTACATTGTACTGGTAGCGCATGCGGGACGTTTCTCAGTGTTCGGTTTGCTGTTCAATGGCAGCCGTAGGTTAGCACGAACGATGTGCCAGGCTTTCTTGCTCAGTGATTCCTGCTGTAGTCTGTAATTGAACAGAACTTTGCCTTGTGGTACTGCCTTGCACTAGGGTCGAAGATAGCTGCTGCTTCACCCTCAACACACATAGTACTGTGCGGGTCCACACATTCCTGGTAGTGGAAACGGATTAGTAGTGCTGGGGCTCCATGTGGTGGACTTCACAGGACTATGTAGCCGAGTGAGACTTGTTGCCTGCAGCGCGGGTTCGCGAGAGTCCGACAAGTGGGAGACAAAACTACTACCACTACTACTTCTACTACCACTACTACTACTACCACTACTACTACTACCACTACTACTACTACTACTACTACTACTACTACTACTACTATCACTACTACTACCACTACTACTACTACTACTACTACTACTACTACTCCTACTACTACTACTACTACGACTACTGCTACTACTACTACTGCTACTATTACTACTGCTGCTATTGTTGCTACGGCTACGGGACTGAAACTGTGACTACGACTACGACTGGGGCTACGACCACTACGACTACACGACTACTAAGACTACTAAGACTGCTACGACTACTAGGACTGCTAGTATGATGGTGGTTCCTTCGAATATCTACATTGCTACAGTACTAGCGCAGTTCTGCTACAGTACAACTATGACTAGTCATTGCTGCCACCACTACTGCTACAATCACGACAGCGACAACTAGTACCACCACTTCAAATTTCGATCATAGTACTGTTGATGCGAGTACACTTTCATATGCTCCAAGAAAGGGTCGTTAATTTGCGTTGATTCCGTTTCTTTGGCAAAGACGCTATATTTGGATGCACGGGTTTCAAGCTCTTTTTGATTTCGGATCTTGCGATATTGGCTGGGGCAATATCCTCTGGATTGTAATAACTACTCTGCCTCTCTATGAGGTCCGAAGACTCATGCACTAGAGCCCAGCATGCGGCGAGGACATCAAGGATGCGTTCCAATCTGCAACTGGCACAGTCAACAGCTGCAAGCTGGGTGCCGGCCTCGACTTGTTGTAAGGGTCCAGGGCTTATTGTTCTCGGATTCGGTGGGCTGAGGGTTTCCTGGATACCGACTGCGATTGTGCCTTCCGCTGCTACTACGACTGGGGGCTGCTGCTGCTGCGGCTGCTACGACCTGCTACTACGACGACGACTACTAGTACTACTGCTACTGCTACTGCTACTGCTACTGCTACTGCTACTGCTACTGCTACTGCTGTTACTATGACTATTATTCTACTACAAATACGACGGCCACTGCCAACACTGAAGAAAGTGGCAGATGCCACTAACGAAAGAAGTAAAAACTAAAGGAAAGACAGCAAGAGCACAGGTTGGCTAAGCAACCTTACCCCAAGAACCCGCGGCACGCTTTTGCTGCTCAGCGGGCAGGCGCTACAGCCCCAGCACGACCCGCAGGGATCGGCTGCTGTACCAAGGGCTCACCAACTGCCAGAGCTCCGCTTGCTCCAGCAACGCTGTTGGTTACCTTATTTGCTATGGCGTTCTAGCGTAAGCTAGGGTTTCCTTACAGGGCAGCAAGCAGCCACCCAGGCGCCCGCTTGTCTGGCAAAGGCAGCTGCGGCAGTACGAAGCTAACTTACGCAATGGAACTACGGTGCAGGCGAGGTGCCCCTTTCAACACCACTACCTCTACCACTACTACTGTCTGCCACTACCACTGCCACTGCCACTGCCTACTACCACTACCTACTACCACTGCCACTATTACTACTTACTACTACCAGCACTCCCACTCCCACTCTGCTGCTGCTATTGCCACAGCCCTTTAGACCCGCAGAAGCTCGACAACATCCTCATAAAACCCTATAGCAACCCCTGATGGACCCAGGCAAGGATGGCACCGCGAGGATATCCTTCGACAGGCCTTGGGTAAGTTGGCCTCGTTTTTCGTGCACCTGAAGGCTTCGGTTGCGACTCTTCTGAGGATGCAAAAAGGGCCCTGGAAGGATTTCCTTAAGAGTCTTTCGGCTTTCTTTAAACCTCCGCGAAGGCTTCGACCCTCAAACCTAGCATCAAGCTGGGTCGGATCACTGCGGCCTCTCCCATCGTTTCGAGAAGTGGGAAACATCGCATAGATTTCTGCCCAAGGCCCGCAACAACACCCTGAGCCCTCAGACCTCCTCCCCCCTGTCACTTAAGGCGTGGGATCCCAACTGGATTGAACACGAGACCCGGAATTCGATAGAGCCCTTCGCTGCAACTTCAGAAACCTCGTCTCGGGCTCTTGAAAGCGAAACTCTATGGAACGCTCGTGAGCTTCATCGCAACAGCTTCCAGCTCGGTTCCCAGAACTTAAACCCTGAGGCCTATCACCCGAATACAGGGGCGCTGAATAGTGAACACTGTTTTTCCCGAAGCTGCCTTCATGTTAACTTCAGGACCCTGTTCTACGTGTTGAGACCCCTGAAGCAAACCCCTGCCCCCCCCGCCTGTAAGGTTCTTGAGCCAGCCGTACAGCCGCAGCCCCATAAGTCCCGAGCCCGCAGCTGAAAGCCGGGAAGTATAAGCGAATCACACTAGCACTAGTGATATTCGTAATGGTCATCACATCAGCAACAGTTAGCGCAATTAGAGCGGTGACAACAGGAATAGTCAATTCAAGCAGACTACCGTGAATCTCAAAAGAAAGAACAATCACTACGAGTATAATTTCATCAGAAAAGGCAATCGAGAAAGAGGGTAAACGCAGGCCCCAGGATGCAAAGAAGGCCGTCGCCACCTTCGACCACGGTGAGTTGAATGGAGCCGGCCTCTGTCAGGGTTCAGGGGAGGGAGGGCGGGGGCGTTGGTGGGTCTAGCAACCCTGGCCCTCAAATGCCGAATGGGCTTCGGGGGTTAGGGTCTCGGTGGGCCCATTGGCTTCCACATCGCTTCTTTGGGGTGTTTGTCTTGGACCAGATTGGGGCTGGAGGTTGAGAATTAGTTTGAGGCGTTTTCGAAGCGGTGCTCGTTAGGACAGCGTCGTGTCCAGAAATGCCGCCAGTGTTGCATGCCTGACCCGCTGGCTCAGGGAGCATTATCAGCGTCCGCGTCCTGAACTGAAGCAAGCGTGTGATTGCACCGTGGCGGTGCGCCTGGAGAGTAGATACTATGGCAGCTTCCCTGCGCACAAAAAGTAGTCGCGAGCCATGTGGCCACCCTATCCATGGATCAAAGTGGATTTCTTATATTCAGAGCTACTTTATATCGGTCAGCCCTCAATCTGCTGTTGCTAGTGCGCAACGTCGAGTCACTTTGTTTCTGAAACGTCTGTTTGTACAAGCTACGCCAACTTTGGCAGCTTTGGGAAGCGCCAGGTGGATGAAGTACTATAGGGGCGTTAATAGTTAGACTGAGGCTTTGGGGTGCATGATACTCTGCTCACATTCATATTTTCCACCCTAAGCACAGCGTTGCTATCACAAATCATTCCGACCCCTATGGTAGCGTCAGCAGCACCAGCCCTTGCTGACTGGAGCTTAGGGCAGCTAGAGCTCTGCCATGCGCGCCTCGGAAACAAGCTCTGCGCGCGGCAAGGGATGCCGTAAGGGCTCTATGCATTACTACAAGGGTACCAAAAGGGTAAACTACAGGCAGTACGAGAGCTCTGTAGGAATACGACAAGACTACCATAAGGGTATCAAAAGGGCACTACGAGAGTTCGCTCTATAAGTGTACGATAAGGGTACTATGAGCAGTGTTCGGGGTTTCGGGTTTGGGGCTTCAGCGGTTTGCGCAGAAGCCAGAGACATGCTTGACCTGCAGCAGGCTCCCGCGGAGTTTGGCACGGGCACAGAGACTGACCTGTAGCATGAGGCTGAGCGCCTCGGGCGCGGCGACCCAAGCCATCCCGGGACCACGGTGGATCTGGCAAAGCCAGCATGGCCGTCAAAAGTGTCGCCTCGCATCTGCGGTCTTGGGCCTGGACGGAGGGGATACCTGTCCTGATGCACCCTCCGTCTCAAACAGTTTGAAAACTTCTGCTGCAAGACCCTGAAAGGTGATCCTTGCTACATCACACCCCACACACACACCCACTACAACTACTGGTCACTCACATTCCGAACCGTTTCGTTGCGCAGCAATGCATTGAATTATGAACTGTCAGAAGGCGCTGGCTCAAGGCTAGTGCTGCCTGTGGAACTCCTTCGCAGGCCATGTTTCGAAACCGTACCTGATATTGGCCTCTTGTCTGCAGGGTTTAGGGTTCGGTTCAACTACGGTTTAGGAAAGCTCCCTCAAGATCGGCAGCGTTGCAGGGTTTCAGATGCAGGGTTCGGGGTTACAGTCAGCTGAAACGGGCTAAGGGTCAGGGTTCCAAGGGCAAACAGCAGAGTCTGGGATCTTTTCAAAAGGGCAAGTTACTTCGGCCTGCAGAGCTTGTTCAAAGACGTTGACCAAGCAGAGCAAGTCATTAACCATCAACCGAGGAAGTCAGACCCGGGTTCCGCAAAGGCTTACTCAGGCCTCTTGTTTCAAGAGGGTTGGATAGTTGCCCGGACGTGCGAGTGTATAGTCCTTCTCGGAGGCGTGGACTGGTTTGGTTGGAACATGAACTGTTTGGAGGGTGGAGCTGGCCTGGTGGTCTGAGCAGGACTTATATCTTAGAATCTTAGCCAAGACGGGCCTCCTGAGTTGGGTTTTATGTGGTTTTACAAGGTGCTACGTCGTGTGCGTTGGTTGCGTGCTGACTTTGTAGGGGTTTGAGGTGTCGGGAAGCGCTGGGCAGGAACTGTGTGGATCATACTTCTGGTGTGCTCGCGGCAGCGCCAAAAGCAAGAGCAAGTAAAGGCATAGTCCCACAATCATGCCAACGGCAGGCAGGGTCAGACAACTCAGATAGCCTATAACTGTCTGTAACTGAAGCTAGAACGTGTGAGTAACTGCAGCTATGCAAAAGCAAGAAGTTGCGCACAAACAATACCCACATACATACCTACTGCCTGCATACCTGTTTGCATTGCCGACATACATGCATACATGCAGACCTACGTACCTGCCTACCTCCTGCCTGCCTGCCTCCCTGCCTACTTACCTCTTTACCTACTTATACCCATCAAACCTACCTACCTCCATCCACCCATTTATCCACCCCATGCCATACCGTACCATACTGGCATACAGATAGACAGACATACAAACATACAGAGACAGACAGGCACAGGCAGGCAGTCAGGCAGGCAGGCAGACAGACAGACAAACATACATCCATGACATCCATCCATCCCATCCCATCCCATCCCATCCCATCCCATCGCATCCCATCCCATCCCATCCCATCCCATCCCATCCCATCCCATCCCATCCATCCATCCATCCATCCATCCATCTACGCATGCATGTGTGTATGCACAGTTACCCACGCATATACATATACATATACATATACATCTACATATACATATACATATACATATACACATACACATGCACATACACATACACATAAACACACATATGTATATATATATATATACATATAAACACATACATACATACATACATACATGTACAAATGCATATATCATATATGCATACACACACGGTTTATGCTCACACTCGCGTGAGCTGGCACCAGGTCCTTCAAACCCTAAGCCCCTTGGGGTGTCCCCGAGGCCGGCTGATGCAGCTCAGATGATCAGATCTCTGCTCTTCGTCGTATGGGCCAAGGCTTCGGCGCAGGCACAGGGTTTACGGTTTGGGATTTTGGGTTTAGGGTCTAGGGTATGTGTCCTACAGCCGGGCTTGACGTTTCGAATGCCTGGGAGAGAGAGAGAGAGAGAGAGAGAGAGAGAGAGAGAGAGAGAGAGAGAGGGTTTTATGAACAATCAAAAATCAGAACTAATTCATAATATTTTAATTTATGGTTTATCACATTGTGGGGCATGTAGGGCTGCTGGCACTGGCTGCACAGTACTGCTGTGAAGGGCTTCCAGGGTCCAACTTCCGGGGGCGAAGTCGGAAGCACGGATCCTCGGTTTGGGGCTTGGGGCTTAGGGCTTAGGGTTGGGGGGTTAGGATATAGGGTTTAGGGTTTAGGGTAATGTAGGGATCAGAGAGGATCCTCCGAGCTGGTGTCGTCAAGCGGGTCGCTGCCAAATCTTGAAGCCGCTACTCCTGATTCTGAGCTTTGGTGTTAGTGGCGACAGTAGAGCAAGAGGAGGAGTAGGCGTAGGAACAGGAGCAGGAGGAGGAGGAGAAGGGGAAGGAGAAGGAGGAGGAGTAGGAGTAGGAGAAGGAGACGGGGAAGGAGCGGTAGGATTCCATCCCAGGTGTCTCATGAAATCCTCTGGCAGGTGCTTGATTGCGAGCCCGCAGAATGTGCCGAACCGAGTCGATCCGTGCTGCATTGAACGGTTGCCTTTGGTATGTTTGCCACTTTACAGGGTTTTAGGGTTTCGGGCTCAGGGTTGGGGGGTTAGGGTTTGCCTGGGTTCGAATCAGGGTTGGAGGGTTTAAGGTTTGGGATTTTGCTGGGGTCTCCGAAAGCCTTCTTTCCGCTCACTCACATGACAAAGATAGGCGTGGAGATGCGTGGAGTCCATATCAATTTGTATGACAAGAACCAGACATAGAGAAGAACGGTCTGCTGCAGCAAAATGGCGGCTAGCCTGGAAGCAGTCCCATATGGGAGAAACCGTCGTACCTCCTTGTGGCAATCCGAGCTGTTAAAGTTGGACTTCCCGTTCATACTTCTGCCCCTGAGTCCTTAAATGTTGAAAAGCTGACTGTGAAGCATGGCGATCGGAAAAGGGGCGTCTAAAACAAAAAGAGAAGCTGAAAGCTCTTGTTGCCTCCACCCAAAAACCAAAGCAGATTTTTGCCTTGAACCTCGATGCCAAACTGTACCAGAATAGGCTGAAAACTGTGCCGGCTGAGTGCCGAATCCTAAGCCCAAGTCCGAAGCCCTTTGCCGCAAGTTGTAAACCGCTGGAGCCCTATAGTTTTCCACAGGTAACTCATCTTTGGTTAGTAGGGAAGGGAAGAATAGTAGTAATAGTAGTTATAGTTGTCCCCCATTCCTCCATACCCCCAGGTAAGGTAACGGCCCCGCCAGGGTTTAGGGTTCAGGGTTAAGGGTGTATAGGTCCGAAGTCCGAAGCTTACTTGGAGGTTCATGGGTAGTTATAAGTAGGGTTATAAGTAGGGTAACTAGACTTATAGCCCATATTTAGGGGACTTATAACCCCACTTATAGCTACCCATGAACCTCCAAGTAGGGTTTGGGGTGAAGCTTAACCTGACCTTTAAGCCCCAAGCCCATAAGGACCCGCCTTCGCAAGCCCCTGAAGGTCCGACCACGTTGCTGCAAGGTCGGCTGGACCTGGTGGCCGAGAGAAGGATGGGCGATAAATGGTTCTAGAGTACATTGCAATATACTAGCCTACATGCTACCGTAGATTATTAAAACAAAAAATATGAATATACATTGCTGGTATATTGACACCTTCTGGTTTCAGGTGTAGGGTCTATGTGTGGCGAGGATCTGGGACGTAGGGGGTGGGCTTCTTGGTTCCGTGTTTCTATTGTGTAGGAGATGCTTAGGCGAGAATCTTCAAACGTGCGCGAGCATGACCAGGGCGCCGCCTAAACCCACAACCTTTCTCAAACTGATGGCAGCCTCCAGATGCCTGCAGGCTTGTCGTGTATTATAGGGACCTAAATAATTCTTGAATACTAATTGGGGGTTCCTTATTCGAATTTTAGTTTAATGGCCCCAAAAGACCCCCCAAACCCTATTCTAGTTAGTAAGGCCTTTTAGTATTGTTTGCGTTCTGTGTGGGCTGTAAGCCATAAAGCGGAACCCTCTTTGACCAGAAGCGCCCAAGAGTGCTCTTTTGTGGTAGCCCTGAGCCCTGCAAAAGCCCAAAGCCAAGAAAAAGGAGCAAACAAAGCCGCGAGCTGCTTTGCACCTGGGCTTGGTGCAGTGAGGTTGCCGGACAGACGTTGCAAATTATATGACCCTTTAGAAGGATGCAAGGGCACTCCAAAGGTTCACGAGGTATTTGTCGTCGTTGCGATGTCTTGCCCGGTGCTCTCATCGTTTCGAGTGTTTCGTTTGAGCCCTGGCTCTAGAAACCCAAACCCGCATCAGAGCAGGTACAAGCGCTGACTGCACCCCAGCCGTCTTCATCGTCAGCTCCGGGAGAACCGGCTCTACAAGCATACTGCACATGTTGAACCTCATCCCGGGGCTGCTTGGCAAGAAGGAGCAGCCTGTAGCTGCGGAATGTTCCTGATCCCTTAATGCGCATGAACCCCCATGTCGAAGATGTTCTTCCGAGTGAGCTGGCAGTTAAGGTACGACATCAAAGGCGGCCTGGCACCTTTTGAAAGCTCCTCAGCCCCTAAGCCCCAGGCCCTTCAGAGTCCTTGCTTGGCGTAGGTGGGAACATGATGCTGTGGCCCGACGTCTACGACATGAACAAGGTCCGAAGGTAGAGTTTGGCAGGAGGGACGAGGTTGAAGGGTTTTTTCCTTTCAAGGAGGCTTTCCATGTGGCCAGCTGTGGTCCTTAGATCCCGAAGCGTTAGCTGGTTCCCGAAAGAGGGTTTATGGCTCAGAGGGCTTTGGGGTTTTGGGTAGGGGGTTCAATTTCTATTTCTTTTTCGTTCTGTCTCGGCTGCAGGTGCGCGAGGCGGATTTCAAGATCTATCAGCACAGTGGCCTCTATGCTTGGCACCACGCGAACGGGCGGACGCTTGCATAAAGCAGACGAAGCTGCGGGGTCCCGGTCTGTGCTTGTGCCATTGACCTGCAAAGAATATACTCTAACGTACTGTTTCATACTACGATATACGAGAACTATACCAGAAATAGTGTAATGAGTAGCACTGCTCATGATCCAACCTCCAGTCCTTCAAAAAAGCAGGAACGAGACAGAGCTCATGTGCAGCATGAAGATGATGCTTCTCGGCGAGCTGAATCCCAGCGTGCACGCCCGTGTCATTGGCTACAAGGCTGCCTGGGCAGACGCCGAAAGAGCAGACGACTTCCGGTTCAGGGTTTAGGGCTTTAGGGTTTCGGGTTTGGGGTTTTGCAAAAAGGGTTTAGGGTGCAGCGTTTAGGGTGGAGGGTTTTGCAAAGGTTTTCGGGTTTAGAAGTGCACTACACGCAGTTAGCTGCTAGCTATGGATCGTTTTTGCAATTTTGAGGTTGTCCCTACTTGTTTCTTGAGCAAGGTATGGAAGTGCAGTCAGGAGTGCTGACCATCCGTCCATGTTCTTCAGGCGATTGCACAAGTCCTGATGCAAAAAAGGGTATAGGGTTTAGGGTGTAGGGTTTAGGTTTCGCCAAGCTTAGTTTCAGGATTTAGGCTTTTCAGGGCTTAGTGCATTGCAGTCCCTGCTCCAACAAAAGGGCGCATGTGAGAGCATTGCGTGTACTCCTTGTGCGTCATTGGTACGTTAGATCAGCGCCACGGACGTCACAAAAGTATGGATGCTTCGGCTGTTAAAGCTGGCAGGCCATCAAGTGGCGCGCAGATCTCAGTATGTCTGCAGTTTGGGATGTAGAGTTCAGATTAAGGGTTTGGAGATCTCGTGTGTTGTTGAGAATCAGTCTCAGGCGATTGCAACAAGTCCTGATGAAAAATGGAGCCTTGGGCACTAGAGCTGCGGTCTACTGAGGTTTCGATGAGGACCTGAAGGAGTGCACATCGTGTAGCAAGGTTTGGGGTTTAGTGAGCCGCCAGGGTTTCTTTGAGGGCACAAGCTTTAGGTGCGCACGGGGACAGGGTGGCCCTAAGCCCCCATAATCTCCCTGCAACCCCTAAACCCGATGACCATCTTTAAATTCAATAGCTCCAAGAACCCACAACCCGGCCCGCGATAGCGTTTCGGCCCACAAGCAGCTTAGACCCTAACAGCGCTGCCCTTCACGCGCTTGAGAGCGAGAGAGAGAGAGAGACCTGCAGATGTGTCTTCCTTTTCATTGTCCTTCCAGCAGTCCTAGGGAGAATATCGCTTAGCCGGCCGAACCTGAGCGCCCCAAGGCCCGGCGACAGAAGATAGAGAACATCAATCCTAGACCCTAGCCTGTTGATGTGGGACTTAGAGCTCGAATCCGTGCCTGCTTCCCAGAGGACTTACAGTTGCTGATGGAGGCACCTTGAATCTTCGCTGCGGGCTTTAAGGATTATGGCTTTGTCGTCGTTATTGTTCTAGTTCTCACCATCATTGTCCTTCTGGTTTGGGGTTGTGGTCGAGTGTTCGGAACGTGGTTCCTCCAGCTGGTGCCTCGAGACTTGGTTCAAACAATGGTCGAGGTGTCGAGGGTTCACAGGTTCAGGATGTAAGTGCAGGATCAAGCACTTCTAGCCTTCGTCGAAACTTGATGGATGCTGCTTCTCGTTGTGAGCCAGGTCGTCCTCGTCGTCAGATTTTGTGTTTGTCGTGGTCTTGATCATTGTGGCCGTGGTCATCGTGGATAACAGTTTTCAAGTCAAGTTGTGGGATCATTGTGGATCGTCGAATGCATTTGGTGGTTGCAATTCCCCCATATGTATGTCAACCAGTCGAGGTCCTGAGACACAACACAGGATCCGTCGTAGTTTTGTGGTATGCAGAAGCCCATTCAAGCTCGAACAAACTTCAATTACTTTGAGCCGGTGGCCCGCACTGTGTATTCCCAGCCAGCATCCAGAAAGACACCAGCAATTCGGTCGTCAAGCTCACAAGCTTCACCTTTGCAGGATTGTGAGGCTAATATTCCGCAAGTCCCACTAGCGTGAAAACCTGGCAGGAGATCTGGTAACGCCCCAAACCAGCCTCTATGAAACCATATTAAATAAAACCCGTACACAGCCGCAGAAACAGACTTGTATCAAGGCTTTAAGCCGCTTCAGAACCTGCATCAACCCCTCTGCAACCCAATACCCCCGCTTAATGCTGTAAACCTCAAACCCAAAAACCCCTCAGCAGCTTCTATGCAACCCTGTCCCGCGCATACTTGGAGGTTCATGGGTAGTTATAAGTAGGGTCATAACTAGGGTCATAAGTAGGGTAACTATACTTATAACCCATATTGGGGGACTTATAACCCTACTTACAACTACCCATGAACCTCCAAGTACCCCTTGCCAGCCCCCGCGCACCCCCGCTCGGTCAGGCCTTTCCTTGTGCCAAGGCCACGGCTTCTCTCGCCATGCTGGATGGTTTACGGGGCTCTGCAAGGGTGGCTGGCATACGGGTATCACGAGTTCTGGAAGGGTTCCGATAGGGTTTTCATAGCGGTATTGCAAGGGATTTGGCTTGAAGGTTTAGGGCTTTAGGTCGTTTTTCAGGCTTGGTTTAGGGCGGAGCTTGCAGGTTTGTTTAGAGGCCGGGCTCCGTGGAGTCCGCACGGTTAAGCATCTGCGTTTTTTTCATAAGGGAAATAAGAAAACAGAAAGAGCCAATGACATAAACCTACACAGCTTCTCATGTTGGGGTGAAGGGATAAACCCCAAACTCTAAACCCTAAACCCCTAAACCTTAAACCCTAAACCGTGGGAAAATCAGTGGTCAGGGTTCCAGCCAGAAGGCCTAAGACTCAAGTCCGGGGTTTGGGGGTTCAAAACCCGGACGCCTCGACCCTTAGCCCCCTAAGCCCTGTGCACCCTGGACCTCAGGACCTACAGCTCCTGAGGGATTTTTTGGGGGAGGGCTTTAGGAGTTTAGGGTTCAGAGTTTCAAGCTTTTTCGGTCCTTCCTTACCTTTGGTTAGTAGGGAATGGAGGAATGGGGTACACTTATAACTATTATTACTACCTTTCCCTACTAACCACAGGTAAGATTCTGCAACCGGGATGTGGCTTTGCTTCACACCCCCGGGCCCCCATCTCCTGGGCTCCGAAGCCTCGGCTCTAGCACCCGGCACGCCTGGATTCTCGCGCCTGCCTTGTCTACAGTGTCGTTCGGATTTGAACAAAAATAAAACCCAAGAGAATGATAACATAATATTTTCAGTATGGTTCTAAGGGGGGTATAGTTGTGCGAGTTGCCAGGGTCGAAGCGCAAAGTAGCCTCTGAGCTCTCTTACTGGAGAAGTTTGCAGGTGATCTTGAGCAAGAGAAGGAACATCGATGACCAGCTTCTTTCCCAAGGAGAAGTGCTGCTAGGAAGCAGCCGTTACATGCGCCCGAAGCCCTAAACCGTGAGTGCTATATTCTTATGAGGGGTGGACGGAAGCAGGCTGCTAGCTGTGAGTAGTGGAGATACTGTGGACTATGTGGAGCCTTGCCTGCCTTGTGCGAGTGTGAGCGTCGAAACCGTGAGTGCCTAAACCGGTCGTAGCATTGAGCGAATGTTTGCGAGCTTCAAAAAACTCTCAAGCTCCCTCGGCATCCTTGTTTGTTTTTTTGTCGTAGCGTTAGGGCCGTTCCTGCGTGTAGGCTTTGAGATTGTCACGCTTTCTGATCGTCGAGCCAAATGAAACCAATCGAGACGTCGCATCGCAAGCTGCACTACCACTTTCTTGTCTTTGCCCCGGTGTGACACCAACAGCACCAAAACCTCATGAGAGAATTGATGCAAATCTCACCTGCAACTCAACCCAAAGCCCTAGTGTGGAAGAGCACGTCGGGGAGCAGTCTGCAGACAACCCAGGTTTGGAAGCATGGACTACTTTGCCACGGAGCAAGCGAACAAGGCATTGTCAGTAATAGATGCAGCCGGCCACAGTAATCCTCAGGATAATGCTGGCCGGAGCATTGCTACCAATAGGGATGACGCGACTAATTACACATAGTGACTGCAGTTGTGCTGATCATGGACTTCGTGCTATGTCTGATGCCGACGGTCATCGTTACTGTGGTAGAAACAAATGTAAGCGGACGGCAAAATGATCCTGCTATGCTTGATGTTGCAAGCAGCAGCCAATGCAACATCACAGCAATGGAAGCAAAAACTGCTGAAGCTCCCGCGGCGAAGATGTGGCGGTCGCAAGGTTTCGGGTGGCGCCAGGTCACCAAGGAAGCCTAACAGAAACTTACCTCCCTCCCCGAAGGCTCGGTCCAGGAAAAGCCCTAACCGGTTGAACCTGAATACTTGGAGCCTTAAACCTACAGCCTAACCTCTGGAACCTGAAACTCCACGTGGCGCCCCTCCATGAGCAGGCCATGGACAAGTTCAAAAAGCATCACAGCGACAGGTCTTTTAGCTTGGACTTGGAGGTCAGACTGGTGCTTCTGCGGGCGGTGGAGGGGATGGGTTGGGCGGAGGGGGGGTTGTTCGGGTTTCTACAGGCTCATTTTTTTTTTTTTAGGGCGGGGGGGTGTTGGAACTTCCACTCAGCACGGTCGCAAACATCCTGATCTGCAGGATTTCGACGTCGAGCACTTCAACAGTTTACTGAGCTTCTTGGGTGAGGCGGCTCCTAAAGCTGAATGCGACTTCTCGCATGAAAAGTCTGTGGCCCCAACCCTAAACCCTGAACCCGGCGCCCGGAAGGATGACAAGTGCCGGTACGTGGATGTCGTACATGACAATGCAACTCGTCTGCAAGCCTGTCCTTCCTTGCAGCCTTGACTATGCTATACCATATTGTGCTATGTTGCATTATGTGGTATCATACTATACTTTATTATACTTATCATACATACGATATTATACTATGTTATACCATATTATAGTATATGATACTCTGGTGCTTGCAGCGAGGCCGGCAGACTCCAGTCGCCAGCAGAGCCGCTGGAATGGTCGGCAATAAAGTGTAATTTTACAGAAGGCAACTAGATGTGCAGGGATGTAGGCAGCCCAGGCGCATGATTGCACAGGAGAGAAAAGGGCACTGCCCGACGACTGTATCTGCTTGACTTGGTCAATGTATGCAATATATCAAAGTATCATACAGTAGAATCTGGTGCAACAAAGCAGATTGAAGACTGTGATGATATGCCAACACAACATTATCCAGCATGTTGGCATGCTGTAGTCTACATCGTGCTCGCTTGCTGCCCTTTGTCGTCGGAACTGCTTGCTCGCAATTCTCGGTCGAACTGGCTCAGAAAGCGACGCAGGAGCCAGTCCACAGGCTACCAGACACTTTTTGCTTGCAAAAACACATCAGAGAGGCAGCTGCATCGGGTCTTATCTTTGGGGGGGTTCTGCGCGTGTCAGGGTTTGGCCATGAGTGTCTGCTGCGCCGACATGATGACTGCGAAAGTGGGCCCCGACGCAAAGCCCTTCGTGGTGCAGCCCTTGATGGAGGTGTCGAGGGTTCAGGGGTTCAGGGTCAAATGGTTTTCGGGGCAAACTGTGTTCAAGGAAAAAAAGGTAACGGATGAAGGTCTGCGTGTGAGAAGTTTTAGTTCTGTGAAGTTTCACAAGGTCCTAAACCCGAACCTCTGATGTCTCTCTTGAGCCTCTGCGTCGTGAGTCAGTTCCTCGAAGCTAATCTAGAAGCCAGAATGATCACCAATCTTGTTCCTGAGCGTTCGTTTGTAGAAGTAGTCTATGCAATATATGCCGAAGCCCTATTCTACTTCTAACTAGTGAGGATCATTACCCCAAGACCCGAAGTGGTGCTCAGCGTGGAGGACAGTCCCGTGAACACGGAGTTTTTGACGACAATGTCCGGCCAGCTTCAGAACGTTCAGCACGTCATTGACGATGCCCCTCGCTAAGAGGAGTGGCTTCGGCTTCGGGACATCGGCACTTACGTTTTCCAGACCCTGAGTCTGGGAGGGGGGTAATATGCCATGCTATGCTGTACTATTCTACAATACTATAGTTTTCTATACTACAGCCTGAGAACAAGGCCAGCCCGATTTGACAGGGCGGCAGGCACTTCAAGGAATCGTGGATAAGGTTACAACAAATAGAAGAACAGAGCATGATATAGTGTGTTGTACCATAATATCAAAGTTGTAAAGGGTATGTATAGTATGTATAGTAGAATAGCAGAATATAGACATAATGTAGTATACTGCAATGTAATGTTCCTTCGTAAGGCTTAGTGTGCCACGGGACGACGAAGCCCCCTCAAGTGAGTGTACCACAACGCTGATTCTCGAACTCTCAAAGTTCAGTTTAACAACGTCACAGGTATTGTCCCCCAAACCAGCGGACAACTTTACCATTCTGCCAGGCAGTTTGAACCTTCGCCTGGTTTGATACCCAGACCATCCTTCATTTCACCAGTTCGCCATTTTACCAATCATGTCGATGCCACAGCTACACCCCCCCGAATCACCTCACCGTGTTTCGAATTCGCCGTTTTGAGAATTTCACGAATTAGTTGTGCCCGATGAGGTGAGAAAAACTATCCATATTGGAAAACAACCGGTGAAATGGTGAATCATTAATGTGGTTTAATGGACCGTGTGTGGGTGAAATTGAGAAATTGCCAAGCCATGCGGGGGAGATGAACGGTGACATATCACAGGTTCTAGCATCTTATCAGGTTTTGTAAAGTGGCGTAAGTTAGTACAATTCAGTGTAACATCCCGTAAGATATCCAAACGCAAAGCCACATACAATGCAGTAGCATAGCAGATTACAACACAATGTAGCTTGATCATACCAAACTACATAACATAACACAGGGTAGTACAACATAAGCAGCACAGAATAGACAATTCTCTTGTACCGTCCAATATACAACATACAGGCATACTGAATAACATGCAACGTAAAACATTTAATGTGGGAAAAATAGTATGTATACCATAGTGTATAATATACAACCTTACACAGTGGAATATGTATATGTATACATACATACATATATATATATATATATATATACGTATTTATAAATATACGTCTAAAGATTCTTTCACCTTGAAAAAATACTGAGCACATAATATATATATATATATATGTATATATATATGTATATATATATGTATATATATGTATGTATATATATATATATATATATGTATGTATGTTTTACGGAGGCAGTACAGGACATATAGCAGGTACATGCTTATGTACTATGCACGTGCTGTGACACAGAACAGATTACTTACTATGTATACATATATCTTTAAAGGCAAATCCATGCAAAATATGGAGAACTTGTATTTAAATTGAATATTTGGCAGATGTACAACATGAGAATATATGTACAAACATACACCTAGACATAAAGACACAAAGAGATATAAGTATAAACTAATCATAACATATATATATATATACACATACATATACATGTGTAATTATACATATAAAGAGTAATTCATACTCGATAGTGCATGATTTCAATATGTATGCCCACTAGACAATGTCAAATTTCGGTACAATATTCGTATATATATTTATATACACATGCAATATGTAGAACAGTCTCAGATGTTATGTACAAGTCTTATATTTTTTACTCAACATATTAAGCATATGACACACAGCATTCTTTATAGCATCAGTTTCTTTGTAATCTTGATACATTATGTAGTGTCGTCTGTAGTGTTATAGAACGGAATAGAGCATGGTAACGCGTCAGTTGCTCAACTCGTCACCGAATCTCTTCCAGTCTGCCAGGGGAGTGCGTATGTGGGAGCTTTACAAGTCAGCGATGGACCTGAGGTCACGACCCAGATCGCAAGGCTTCAGCAGCAAATCAACAACAAGCTGGGCCATGTGGGCACAGTGGTGACCATGCCCACCTTGGATGCAGCTAGGCGGAAATAGTCTCGATCCTACTGAACGATGCGACCTGAATCCGACGTCCTACGGTTCAAGACCCCCCAAAGCAAGCCTAAACCCTAAATAACCCTAATACCTGCAACCTAAACCTTCGCACAGTCCCTACAAGAGTGACCCTGAAACATAGAGGATCCATGGTTCGACTGGCTGACCGCACCGCAGTGCAGCCCTTATGGATCCCGAACCCTAAATGCTTGGGTTTTCAGGGTTCAAGCTGGCGCACAATCCAAGCCCATGCTATAAAGGGTCCAAGCCCTAAACCCTAAACCGCAAGCTACAACAGCTGCCCTCGAACGCCCAGCGGGAACCCGCTTTTCGGGTCTGCGAGACGAAAGGCCAAAAGGGACGCTCAAAAACAAAAACCCCAAGCTGCTCAAAGGACGGTGGCTCAAGGCGCATCGACCTCCCAATGGACTTGGACAACATCACCATGCAGCACGCACAGGGGGCAGGTGCTTAAACATGCTTCAATCGGAGATTTTCTTGCACATGGGGAGTGTAGGATAGAGAGCTGGGGGATTAGGATAGTGACTAGCTCCGAGATCCAGGCGGGCTCTTTGCGCATGGGAGTAGGGGTTAGGATAGTGACTCTGCAGCTAGACAAGCACATACTCATACACTTCCCGTCAGAACCACCATCAGCCGCGAATCATATGAGCAATCCTTCCAACCACTATATTACTAGGTGTGAAGATATGTAGCCTGATGCAGAGGCATTCAGTGATTCCAGGAAGCACAGCAGTCAGTATGGTTGGCCCATTGCAGCGGCAACGCCATAAGACTTCTGAAAAAGTGTGCGGTGATGCGAATGGCCACCACACCGCACACTACCCTCAGACAGGATCAAGAAAGCCCAGCTGTGTCAACACAGCAAGTAACAGCAATGTGAGTACGGCAAAGGCAAGCCAATGAAGATCCAGCCCGCGTGTGTGTGTGTGTGTGTTCGCATTTCAGGCAGTGGCAGCGAGAAGCCTAGCAGTTGCAGTACTGCGAAAACACAATCTACAAGCAGAGACGAAACTGTAGATGGCCGCGCCCGTCAAGCCAACATCTGCATAAGGGGTATAGTTACAGAAGGCCAATGCTCTACAAGCAGGTGCTACAACTAACGTCACCCAGGCGCCCCAAAGCCCATGTGACGGTGTCAATGACGTCCCTTACACCCAGGACTGCAAGTGTCTAAGACAGATGCACTCAATGCAGCGCACTGTTTACGGGTGCTGCGGATGCACGTAGCTTCGTTTGGTGCCCTAAATCCAAAGCCTGAAGTCGACCCGCAACCCTGAACCCTGACTCCAAAACGCTAAAGCCCTAGCTCAGAGGAAAGAGGCTTTCAATAAAAAGCCCCAGGCCCGATACACTTTAAAAGAAAAGGCCTTAGACCCTCAGCCCTGAACCTCGAGCAAGCCGCCCTAAATCCAAAGTCTGCGGTCGAAACGCCAGAATCCTCAACCCTGAACCCTGAATCCCAAACCCTGCAACCCTAAACCTTGAACCCTAAGCCCTAGACCCTAAACTCAAGGCCTCGGCCGCCCACCTCCGTGGGTGGGCGGCGCTTAAGCCCCTCGACCTCGGCGCAGAGCGACCCAATACGCCTGCCCGCCCACAGCCATGGGGACGGTAGCACCCACGATAGGCCCGGTACCGGAGCAGGTTCTCCTCGGGACCAGTACGTAATACCCGAAACCCCAGGCTCCCAGGCGTCCCCTCCAAAAAAAGAGGGACCCCCTCCTGAGCCCTGCCCTGCTACCCTGCCCTGCTCCCCCCCTGACTCCGCCCTCTTTCTTTGTCTGGGCCTGCTCTAAACCCTTCGGGACTCCTTGATCTAGGGCTCGGGCCCTTGCCTGAAACTTCTGCCGGTTTAAGAAATAAAGAAAACCATAGAATGAGTTTAGGTGCTAAACCCTAAACCCTAAACCCTAAACGAGTGTGAGTGTCAAAAAACCCAACCCCCGCATCGAGCTGCAGGCACCCGAGTGCTGGAGCCCATCGCGGAGCCTACTCCCGAGCCGGAAGATGAGATCTCCAGCTTCCCAAGGGGTTTAGGGGTTTGGGGTTTAGGGTTTAGGGTTTCTTTTGGGGGATCTAGTAGGAGCTTTCTGTAAATTAGGGACCGGCTTTTGGGGGTCCTTTCTATGAGGGTGCCGCACTGTTTTGGGGACTTAAAATGTGACCCTAATTTAGAGAACCACCCATAGGTTTAGAGTTTCGAGGTTTTTCAGGGTTTACAGGGCGTTTTTGTAAGGTTTATGGGTTAAGGGTTTAGGGTTTTGGGCTTAGAGCGGTGTTTACGGTTTAAGGACGGTTTGAGAGTTCACAGGACTTCTTGGTTGCCCTAAATCGGTTTTCTGGTAGAGCAGGAACATGTCTGGTACGCTCTTGATTTTTGTTGGGAGCCCAAATAACCCCAAACCGCATCCCAGAGTTCAACACATGCGACCGCCTCCGTGAGGGCCGGATGGTGTATCTTTGTCGAAAAGACGTCCGACGGCGGAAGAATCATCTACTCCTCAGAGGTGCACTAGAGAACTCAAGCATATCTCCGGAGCACCGAAACCCTGCCCTAGGGAAGTCATGGTCAGTGGAATTCATTTTCTTAGGGGCAGCTTCCCTACACCTGCCCCGAAGCCTCCTTGGGCCTTTTCTGGTAGGCTAAGTTCCGTAAGAACAAGCTTTGTCCCTTGCCTTTGGAGCTTCCGCTTGCTTTTAGCATTGAGATGCCCAGCTCTTCATGCAAAGAGCTAAAATCTTCCGAGCCGCAACGCTCGCCATAAACCCCCAGATGAACCGAAGACCTGATTCCCAAGCCCTATGCCCTAAAGCATGTTGGGGCCAAAGCCCGATAAGCTCTGAACCCTAATCCAAGGAAGGGTCCAGACGCCTCTTTAGAGCTCGAAGAGGCTGTAGAGGCCAAGGAGAAGAAGCGGACAGAAGCGGATCAGGCCATAGGGAGGGTTGAATGAAGGTTAGTAGATCAGACTCTACGTTGCGATATCGGGGCCTCAAGACTTTGGAAAAGGCTTAGGGGTTCTGCAATGGTACATGTATAGAGGGAGTGTGAGAGACACTACACCTCTTTCAGGGCTTTCGGGCCTCAAGGTTTGAGATGACAGGGGCCGAGTCTTGCTGCAATTCTGGGGTCAGTTCGGGTTGAGGGCTTGAAGGCTGAGGGGCCACGGGCGCAAGATCATCATCATCAGAATCATCATCATGATCATCGCAATGGTCATCATGAGCATAATCATCACCGCCATCCTGCCATCACCGCTGTATAAAGATAGCGGCAGCATCAGAGCAGAAGGCTGCTACGACAAGCATCAGCATCAGCGTTGATCTCACCATCATCGCCTCTACTGTTGATGGACAAAATCCTGCATGACCCTATAAGGGCCCTAAACTATGGGAACTATGGTATATTCCTTATAAAGGGTAATGCAGGATTTTGTCCATCAGCCGTATGAGCAGTTATTCTCGCCACCGTGGTCATCAGAGTTATCGGCACGGGACCGCTCGTCACGTTTTTTTCGCGGTAACCATGATCCACACGACTGCCAGCATCACAGATATGGGAGTTTCCGAAAATTCGGGGCACTTTATTTTGGCGGGGTCCTTACAATAAAGATCCATCCTACTATTTAGGGTACTATATTTAGGGTCCCCTATTTTCGGAAACTCCCAAACGACAAAAGCGGCAACGTGCTGCCAGGAAGCTATCGATGAGTTGGTACATCAGTTCGAACGTTGCGATGTTTCCACCAACGGCTCCCAGCTGTCATTTCGTTCAGAATCGGATTTTGGTCTTGAGTCCACGGTTGAAGAGCTAAGGATATGTGGTTCAGGCTCTTGTGGTCCAGCTGCTTTCAGAAGGTACTTCGCAGTTTCGTATGCGGTCATGTGGTAAGCCTGACCACAAATAGTTTGTTCTTACACGCTCACATCCTAAACCCTAAACCCTATTCTCACCAAACTTTGGCGCCAAGGCTTCGTGTCCGCTCATGAGCTCGTCGCGCTGGCCTTTGCGCACGGCGAGCAGTTGCAGTTGGCCAGTGCTTCTCGGCAGCCGACATCGTTATTGCTGCTATTAATGCTCTTCGTATGTTCAATGTTCCTAGTGTCCCTAGTATTATTAGTAGTCCCTGAACCCTAAACCCTACCTTTAACCTAGTAGTGAAATTTAGGAGAGATGTAGGGGAGAGTATAGGAGCAATTCTGAAAAAAGGATGAGGGAATCGGTCATTCCTCTACTGCTATTGGTCATGGGGAAGTTGGGGGTGAGATGTAGAGGCGACTATAGGAATAATCCTCTGCTGGAGCGACTGGTGGTAGGGTGACCAAAACAAGCAAGGCTCTGCCAACTGAATTTAACCCCTGAGCCCCGAAACTTGTACCATGAACCCTTAAACCCTAAACCCTAAGCCCTAAACCCTAAGCCCTAAACCCTAAGCCCTAAACCCTAAACCCTAAACCTTGGCCTTGACTCTTCAACAATAGGCCCCTACAGCAAACCCTCAAATCTGGTGATCCAAGGTCCTCAAGCTCTGCACGTACCTTGGTCATCAGGGATCCTTTCTTTCTTTGAGGGTGGATGGATGTTTTTGGGGTTTAAGATTTGGGGTTTGGGGGCTTGGGATTTGGGCATAAACGCGTAAAGCCCACACCCCAACTAAACCTTGAAACCCTTTGAACTGGGGCTTACGGCTTAGATATGAAAAGGAGAGGTTCGGGGTTTAAAAGCTCAGGGTTTAGTGCCTAAGGTACCTCTCTTCCAATGTCCGGGCTTCCCTCCGGCCCACGATGTTGGACTCCGTGAGCGAAGAGAACCTGCACCTTGGAAAGAATTCGTGGCTGTGGGATTTCAGCAGGGAGTTTCGGGCTGTTCGGGTTTCTAGGGCCTCTGGGGTTTTGAGAGCTTTTAGGGGCTTTAGGGCTTCGGGGCTGTGGAGCGTAAGGGCCTGGAGAGGCCTCGGAGAACGCGGGGTCGAAGATACCGAAATCGGACCTGCACTTTCAGGATTTGGGTTTAAGGTTTAGGGTGCAGGGCTTAGAGTTCAGGATTCTTCGGAGTTATGGCTGTTATGGCCTGTTTCAAGGAATCTATAGAGTCGGTTGCTTGGGAGGGTTTTGAGGGTTATGTGCCCGTTTAAAGGCATCTTTAAAGGCACAGCTACCTAAATCCCTAAACCCCTAAACCCCGAAACCCCTAACCCTTAAACTCTTAAAACCCCAAACCCCAAAGCAACCCTATCTAGAGCTTCAGGGTCTAGGGCTTGCAGTGTCGGGTTTGTTAGCAGATTCCGACAGCACCTTGAAATTGTATTCGGGCCATTAGACTTCCGGCAGAGGGCCTGGAGTTAGGGGATTCCAAACAGGTTGCAGACGGAATGTCTCTTCTGGACACCGGGTTTGGGGTGTAAGGCAGCGTAGACTTTAGTTGGGAGAAGCCCGAGGAAGACAGAGCTGGATGTCAACGGCTTCGTTGCTCTGCGCTTTGACAAAGAGCTCTTCGAAGCGGCTCCTACCGACTCCCGGCTCAAGCAAGCGAGGTTTCCTGACAAGGGGGCCCAGAGGGTCCTATAAGGGTTCCATTTAAGGGATCTACAGGATATGGGAGTTTCCGAAAAGCAGGCGGTACCGTATTTTGGGGTTCTGATAACAAGGATTCTATTATTTAGGGTGCCATATAAGGGGCTCTGGTAAGTGTTGTAGCAGGTCCTTCTCTTACGGTCTATATGGGTGTCCCAGAGCAGAGGGTGGAGCTTTCGCGTGCGGCTTCTGTCAGAGAATGCTTTATTCAACCTCACTTCCTAGAGCCATGAAACACCTTAAACTCGAAACCATAAATCTGCAGCCCCAATGTCTCCAGGACATCGTCGACGCCGCGGCTGCGCTGAACAGGCACCCAGTAGTGATGCCCATGAGCTTCGAGCCCAAGAGTTTTTTCCGGAAGTTGTGGGCATAGCTTGAGGCTCATGCTAAGGGGCACCCGCCAAAAGAACTAGCCAAATGCTCCTCGACGCAGGGCCCTCGATGAGGAGAACCGGATCTACAAGTTCGATCATGCCTCCCGGTGGGCGTTGTGGGATTTAGGATTCTTTGGGGAGTCGACGATGCTGTTGCTGTCATCTTGGGCTCGAGAATCGCAATGGCTCGAAGAGTTTGATTCGGACGATGTTGGTCGAGATTTGTTGTAGCATCGCTTCACTGCACTCGTCTTTGGCGAGTGCTCCAAAAGTTTTTGATGCTCCAACGCTACATTTCCTTCTAGGTTTGCCTGCATCATTGCAAAGCAAAGGACGCAGATGTCATGCGACAGCGGCAGCGCATCTACATGGCACGAGTAATAATGGATGCCACTGGGCTTCTGTGACCCTAACCCCTTAGACTTGGCATTCAGCAATGCAGGAGGCAAACAAAAATACCGCAATCACTGAAGTCCTAAACCCGAATCCATTCATCACACAGCCCTCCTAAACCCTAAACCCTAGAAGTCGTAAAAGCCTTGCCTTCCTTGTGCGAGCGTGAGAGTAGAAAGCCCTTCACCCCAGAACCTGGAGCCCTGGAGCTTGAAATCAGCAGTAAACTTCTTCAGTCTTTGACCTTGGTATGAGGGTTTGAACGATTTTAGCGTTTTCCCATTGGCGTTGGGCTTTAGCGTGCAGGGGATACCTTACTAAGGTCACCCGGGGAGTATTGGAACCAGCTTACTCAGGAAATAACACTTTTTCGAAAACCCTATACCCTAAACTTTGAGAGCGCCTGGAAGCTTATGCCCCCTCAGCCCTAAGCCTTAAGCCCCCAAGCCCTACCTCCGACACCCAACCACCTGAAGATTACACTTTGCTGTAATAAAGACCCTTCAGAACGAACACATTTCCTCAATCCCAGGCTCCCACAACCCACCTATTGCACGAAACACCTCACACAGCGTGGCATTTGCCTGTTCGGGGTATTGTTTCCATTCGGACCATGTGAGACGGTAGTGGGTTCTCGCGTGTTGCTCCTTGTTTGTAGGGCTGCTGAACGCTTTTATGGTTTTGGGTCTGAATAAGTAGTACGGTTTTCCTATCTCACTTCTTTTTACGCATACTATAACATGTTCCGGAACCCTATTCTAGGCTTTGAGGGCTCTGCGTTGGATCCTAAACCTTTTACCAAGGTCGGCATTGTTATCGTTATCTCGCTGAATGCGCTGGCCATCGGAATCAGCCTGCTGGCTTTGGTTTTATACCCTAAACCCTAAACCCTAAGCCCTAAATCCTAAACCCTAAACCCCTAAACCCCTAAACCCTAAACCGATGCTGTGTATCCACAGAACCTCGGGGATCGGAATTCGGCTCGGGATGCGAGCACTGGGAGCGGCAGCGAGGACTCGGGCATGGGCTTTACCAGCAAGGAGAGGGCTTTTAGCTTACAAAGTATACTGACAATACACGGTTAATGTTGTACTACATAGCAGAATATGCAAGAGTATATGTAATAGGAGGGCTGAAGGTTTTGTTCAAAGTAGAGTCAGGGCCTCCATCGAAGCGCGAACCGCAAGCCCCGAAGTAGAGAAGCAGCATTGAAAAGTGATAAACAAGCCTTAAATCCTGAAGTAGCAGTAGCAACAGACGTAGGATTTGAATGAAGAGCTACACTACTTGTAAATCATGACACGAAATGCAATAATCCAACTAGTATTCATACACGATTTATACACATAGTAAGCACTGTAGTAGCTATGTTAGACAAAAAATACTAGCAACGAGAATAGTCGTGCACGTCTTTAGGTCCTCAGACGCGGGAGCTTGTTCGACACCACGGCCTCCCTTAAAGGTTATCTTTACGGTTCCCTCAAAGGGATCTTTGGGGTTGTTTAGGGCTCCGTTAGAGGGATGGATCTTTGGGTTGTTTAGGATTTCCTTAAAAGGGATCTTGGGGGTTGTTTGGGGTTCCCCTAAAGGAATGGATCTTTCGGGCTCCCTTAAGGAACCTTTCGCCGTATGTTTTGGCGAAGTCTTCTTGGGTCAGCTTGAAAGGATCGAGCCTACGGCAGTTTTTTGCATGGCTGGCGGGGGTTGGGAGGAACAGTTCTAGGTTCCTCAATAACCCCTTAATGGTAAGGGCTTTAGGGTTTAGGGTTCACGATATTCTTGTTTCTGCTCTTCCTTCATGCTCCTAACTGAAGTGGGAATTGTGCGTAGTTGCAGCACTCAGCGGGAAAGTCGTCTAAAGCACCCGCCTTCAGTAAAACTAGTACAGCTGTTAAAACGTACACCCTGCCGAAATGAATAAGTTTGACATCATGATAGATGGGGGTGATTCCAACATAGACCCTTCGTGCTAGCATCCTTCTTGCGAGACCCGCAAGCCCTCCCAAACCCTAAACACTGAAAATTCCAAACCCGACAACCTAGCCCCGAACCCTAAACCCTAAACCCTACATAAGCCCCAAACCCCAAACCCTAAACTCCAAACCCTAAACCCTAAACCCCAAAACCTGAAGCTCAGGTGCCGATGCCCCGAGCTCCGACCGAGCGTTGTGGCAGGTGATGGAACTGGTTTTCGTTGGCATCTACTTGCTGGACACTGTGCTTAGGGTCTATGAGGGACACTGTGCTTAGGGGGGGCTTGAGGGCTTAGGATTTGATGAGAAGACCTTGAGAGCCGGCATACAGCCAAAGCCAGTGCTGAAAAGGGAGTTTACGCGAGGAAGAAAGTGAGTTTTTGGGTCAGGGACACCACCAGTTGTCCGCTTGGTGCCTGCAGCCCCAAACAAAGACTCCCAAAATGACGGGACCCCCCTGAAAGAGAGTAAGTCACCTGAACCAATCTGGGAGTGTCCGAAAATTAGGGGTGACCTATTTTGGGGTCCTTATACTAAACATCCTACTATTTACTATGTAGGGTGCCATATTAGGGTCTCCTATTTCCGCGAACTCTCATTTGGAGGAGTGTATCGTGAAGCTGGCGTTTCTAGACGGATGGCAGTACTTCGTCGGAGCGGATCGGAGCCAGCTCCTCAGATTCTTCTTGCAGCGATCTGGGAAAATTCTGACAAGAGGGGACCCTAAGGTAGTAGTAGGATCCTTATTTTAAGGACCTTAAAGTAAGGTACCCCCCAAGTTTCGGAAACTCCCATCTATCCTGAGGCCTTCCCTCCCTGCCCCCCGAGCCTTGAGCCTTAAAACCTCAAATTGACTTTGTGCCAGTTGCCAGAGTCGAAACATGTCGAAACCCTAAACCTCTCCTTGGTGGTTCGGAGGCTGGAATATCTTCGACTTCACATGCTTAATCATCTCAATGATCGAGCTAACGATCTCCTACATCACGCAAGCCGCAGGAGGCTGCATGGCTTAGGGTCGAGGGGTTGAGGATTGAGGGTTTCGGGTATGGAGTTTACTTGAGCCCAGTAGGAAACAAGAGGTTGCAGCATTTCGCAAGTGCATTTGGGAGTTTTCGGAAAGGTGGGGTAATTACTTTACGTGGGTTCTCCCTAATCGTTCTTTTTTCAGAAAACTAAGAGACCGTATTTTGGATCCTTTCAAACAAGGAGCCGAGTTATTAGGGTTTACATTCTAGGAATTTTTGCCATGCCTCCAGGATCGGAGGATGAGGATGTTCGACTTTTCCGGCTTCTACTATAGGTGACGTCATGAAAGACCTTTCTAATCGGGATCCTACAGTTTCCGGTTCTCCATGCGGGTCCCTATTTCCTGGACCCCCGCCATCTCCTCCCATACCAGGCATTGCTCCAGGTTTAGATCCAGGGAATTTCGGGTTTCGGGATTTGGATTTTCAGCACATGCTTTGAGGGTTTATGGAGTTTGCAGGCTTCGTCGTCGCTGCGTAGCACTTTCCGAATTTAAGGGTTTTGAAGTTTAGGTTCAGGTTTAGGGGTTTAGGGTTACTCCTGGAGTCATAAACGTTGAACCCTGAACCTTAAATCATCGCGGAGGAAAAGCCATCGCGAAGTGTACCGAAAGCCAAGCCCTTAAGTTTTGAATTTGTATAATAGAGGGGCTTAAATAGAATACCATTTTCGGGGTTCCTTATCATAAGGATAGTATAGTGGGCCCCAAAATCCTATTCTAACAATTTAGTCCCCTATATTACGCCTCAACCTCACATCCTAGCCCAGGACAAGAGGGCGAGCGAGGGGTGCTCAACCTTCTCAAGGCAAAGTCAGTTCAATAAGAATCGGTTTGGTTTATATAGTGCTTAATTAGTGTGTACCTGGACCCCTATTATGATTTCCGTATATAGGAGTTTCCGAAAACAAGCGACCCTAATATAGTACCCTAAATTGCAGGATTCTCATTATAAGGGCACCCCTAAGTTTCGGAAACTCCCATTTAGATCTCTTAAAAGGCTAGCTTCTTTGGGGGTTGAGGTCGGCCTCTCAGGCTTCTCTACATGCTTCACATGCGGTTCTGTCATGGGTGCTTTTGGTGGTTCTCTGACTTGGGATCTCTGAAGGATCAAAAATCTTACTCAGGGTTTAGGATTCAGGGGTTTAAGGGCTCAGGACTTCGAAGTTTGGGTCCCCCCTATGGTGGGTTTGTTGCATGCGCTGGGCTAAAACCCTGAGCCCTGTCAATTCACGGGTATGTTCCCCACTTCCCTGCCTAGCGACTCGCTCAGGAATACAAGAGGCCAAAAACACCTTAAACAAACAATCTTAAACCCTAAACCCTAAAACCCTACAGCCCTAATGCCCTCAACCCTAAACCTTAAACCCTAAACCTTAAACCTTGAATCCGAAGCCTTAGCCTTAGGTTTGTCACGTTCTTTGCCCTAGGGCCGAAGCACCCGAGGATTTGAAAGGTAGGCCAAGCCCTCTGCGTTTGCGGTTAATGTGGGAACCTGGCTTAGGGTTTAGGGTTCCTTTAAAGGGGTTTATAAGGGTTACTAAAAGGAATCTATAATAAGGGTACTATAAAAATGTAGGAACCTGATCAAGAAACCCTGGGCCTATACTCCCCAAACTAGTAGGATTCCTATAAAGCGCCCTAAAAAAGGCCCAAGGCTTCTTAATCAGGTTACTAGGGTTTAGGGCTTAGTATGGGTTAAGGGCTGATGGTTGGGTTTAGAAAGGCTGCTTTGTAGGGTTTCTGTGAGGCTTTTACAGGGCTTGGATTCTTAGATTGCCCAAATCTCATGCCCTGAAGCCGAGGTGCTGCGGCTGGCTCGTTTGGCCCGTCTCGTCCGCGTGATGCGGTATAAGATATTCAGGGACGCCTGGCTTAGAAACATCCGAAGAATGGAATGGCATTTAGTGATGCAGCCGTTAGGACCTGAAGTTTAGGGTTTACTGTCCAACGGCGGTTGATTGGCGACATGCAGGATTCAGAAGAGAGCCCGTGACCCACGAATCAAAGGTAATGTTTGTGGAATCTTCGTGTGTGAAGTCTGCTGGCTTACCTGTCAGCGCAGGGTGATCGAGCATGTCTGTCGACCATCAGTACTCAGTGCAGGGCCAAGGGGTTCGTTTTCAGAATAGTATCCCCTCCAAGTCCCATCATAATTACCAATTACAGTATAGTAAAGTATACTCCAAACCCTTTTCATTCCACCTATTAAGGCACGCGTATTATCAACCTGCTGAGGAGTTGAAGCTGATGGCGCTTGGACTATTCAGCGGCTTGCAAGCACTCTTCTGGGCGTGCCTTGGGCAGAAAACTCAAAAGCACGGATGTCCTCGAGTCCTAGAAGCCCCAAACCCTAAACCCTGAACACCGTCCTGAAATGAAGAGATGCATTACCCTAAACCCTAAACCGTAAACGTGCAGTTGGCAAAGCCAAAATCCCTGATCTATGTTGGGAGGTTTGGGGACTCGGAAGGATTCGAGACTCCCTGGAAGTCTGATGGATATCAGAATATGTATCTAGTCTCAGTAGCAGTACTGGTAATAGTACTAGTAATAGCAACGAGACCCCCTGGAAGTCTGATGGTTATCAGAATATGTATCTAGTCTTAGTAGCAGTGCTAGTAACAGAACTTGTAATAGCAATAGTTTTTGTAGCATTGGTCGTACCTGTAATTTTCACAGTACTAGCAGTAGCAATCGGAATCGATATGTTAATCGGAATAGCAGCAATAGCTGCAATAGAAATAAGTAATAGTAGACCAGAGGTCGTGATAGTAGCTCTATTGCGAACAGGAACACGAGAAGCAGTAGGAATAGGGATAGCAAGAGCAACAGCAAGGGCAGTAGCAAAAAACAGTAGCAGAAGTAGTAGCAGTAGCCGTCGTCGTCGCAGTCTGGTTGTCGTGGTTTTGGCAGAGGTGGTGGTGTTAGCTCGTAACAGTAGTAGCAGTAGTAGCAGTAGCAACAGCACGAGCAGTAGCAGTAGTAGTAGTAGTAGTAGTAGTAGTAGTAGTAGTAGTAGTAGTAGTAGTAGTAGTAGTAGTAGTAGTAGTAGTAGTAGTAGTAGTAGTAGTAGTAGTAGTAGTAGTAGTAGTAGTAGTAGTAGTAGTAGTAGTAGTAGTAGTAGTAGTAGTAGTAGTAGTAGTAGTAGTAGTACTAGTAGTAGTAGTAACAACAACAGCAGTAGCAGCAGCAGTAGCAGTAGCAGTAGTAGTAGTAGTAGTAGCAGTAGTAGCAGTAGTAGCAGTAGTAGCAGTAGTAGCGGTAGTAGCAGTAGTAGCAGTAGCAGCAGTAGCAGCAGTAGTAGTAGTAGTAGTAGTGGTTAGCCGTAGCAGTAGTGTTAGAAGTAGCAGCAGCAGGAGGAGGAGTAGTAGCAGTAGCAATCGTCGGAGCAGCAGTAGTAGGAGTAGTAGTGGTAGCAGCAGTAGTAGTAGTAGTAGTAGTAGTAGGAGGAGGAGGAGGAGGAGGAGGAGGAGGAGGAGGAGGAGTTAGTAGTAGCAGTAGTAGTAGGAGGAGGGATTGTAGTTGTAGTTGTCATACCAATGGTGAGGATTGTGCTGCTGATGGCCGTGGTGTTCACGATGGGCATTATCGTGCGAGAACTTTTCGGGCTACATTCGTGCCTCGGCACATCGAGTTCAGCAGGAAGCTGATACTGTCGGTAACAGCATTCTCATCAATCACCGCCAATCTCGCTGCTGCCACGAAAAGCATGTTCGCTTGTCCATGGTTGCTATGTTGAACGTCCTGACCTTCGCTTCTGCTGCTGACACTTATTGTAGGTTGGACCGATTGGTTCTATCAGTCGCATAGTTTCCTGAAAGACTTCTGTGTCTGTTCATGTGTAGCACACACAGTAAGGGTTCTGGCTCTACTTGCAGGGACGCGACAGGCTCCATATAGTAGCATCCGGTAGCTACCTACTACCTACTGCGTGAGCTACCTCCGATGAACCTCCCAGTTGCCCCTTTAGCCGATCCATTCCCGTCAGGCATCCGTTTTTGAAAGACTGGGGGCAACAGCAGCTGCGAGCATCTAGAGCCGAGGGCATAGGGTCATGAAAGCAAGCTTGGTGAGTGTAGACTGACACCTTCCTTCCAGACGAGCGATTCCCGCTTGCTGTTGTTCTCTGTGTGCTTCTGGTCTTTGGGCTTGCCGATGTCCCCGACGAGCGAAGTTGTCTTTGTGGTAAGCTCAGACCAGCTACGCAGGTGGCACAACAACAAACAAGACCCAATGCACAAAACCCTCGAGACTTTTCACATGCAAAGAGCCCAGGGACATGTTGCCGGAGTTCCAGAGCGTGGACCGCGCAATGTTCACCCTCTTCCGATGCTTTACGGGGACCTGCGAGACTTACAGTGGTGATCCGATCCCAGAGATTCTGTTCGATCAGCTTGGCTATGGGTTCCCACTATTCATCGGCTACTTCCTGCTCATGATGCTGGTCAGTGTCGGGCTCTTTAACTTGATCATGGCCGTCGCATCCTCAGCTTACAGTACTTACAGTACCTTGCAACACATCAGTTAAACTCAAAGACCACAACTTGGAGGTTCATGGGTAGTCATAGTTATAAGTGGGGGTATAAGTCCTCTAATATGGGTTATAAGTATAGTTACCCTACTTAATTAACCCTTCGTATAACTACCCATGAAACCCTCGCAGAGGGTGTAGGGATCGGATCATATCGCCTGTTTGTCCCTTTTAGGGTTTAGGGTTTAGGCATGAAATATCACCTTTCAAAGCCCTATTGCAATTGCTGCGTTTAGGTTTAGCAACATCTAGCACATGCTTCCCTCCGTGATGGTAACTGGAGCTAGGTTCCCTTACATGCACCCAGCACGCTCAAACCACAACGCCGAGGCCCGAACCCTACTTAAAGGATCATGGGACTTAGTAACTAGGGTTCCTTAAAGGGTTCCTTAAAGGGATCTATAGGGTTTAGGGTTTAGGGTCTACTTAAAGGATCATGGGACTTAGTTGAAAAGGTTATAATTAGGGTAACTATACTTATAACCCCAATTAAGGTACTCATAACCTTACTTACTAAGTCCCATGATCCTCCAAGTATTGTCTCATGATGTTTGGTTTCTATGGCCTGAACAAGTAGTAGCTGTATCCCAGTAAATGCCCGTCAATGGCATCATAACATATCCCAATATGCTATTCTAGCGTTTCGGGGCCTTGGATTAGGTTTAGGGAGCCCCAGTCCCTAAACTCTAAACCCTAAATTGGGGTTGCGACACAGAGTTTCTGCAATGATCACCATCTGCGATGCATACTGCATGCCAACGTCTTCGATGCACGCTGCACGCCACTGCATGGGAGCGAGAGTGGTATGAGAGAAGCCACGGCATTTTGCTGAGTAGTAAACTAGCCATAACCAGTCAGCTGTTTCACAGGTCTCCTGGAAGGCGCAACTAGGGTTTGGGTTTTTTGGGTCTAGCGTTTGCTTTCTGGGAGACTGCTGTCAGTTGGGACCATGAACTATGCTTGGTGATTTGTTGTTGGCTTGTCGTGGGTCGTGTCTGACGGCAACCTGGGTAAGTGAACCTACTTCCTGGGCTTAACACGTAGTCACGTCGAACCTACTTCTGCAGACCTTGCCAGGCTTGTCCGAGTGTGAGTGTCAAAAAGTTGGGGGAACCGAGGTCTTCATTGACAACGTCACCAAGTCGCAGAACCAGCGCAAGCAAAAGGAGCCGTGAACGTGATCCCAAGCTCTTAGCACCGAAATTTAGAGTCTGAAACATGGTATGGCATCACGGTTTAGGATTTAGGGTAGGGTATCCACATTGATCCAGGCTTGTGCTCGCATTGATGGCTCTAGCCCTGGTCAGGGTGCAGCCTACTTGGAGGTTCATGAGTAGTTATCAGTGGGATTCTAAGTCACCCTAATATGGGTTCCAAGTATAGTTACCGTACTTATAACCCTACTTATAACTACCCGTGAACCTCCAAGTAGTCGAGACAGCTCCGGATGTGACAGCTCATGTGCTCGTAGAGAACAAGAAGATCGTCTGCGTGAAAACAACCGGTTAAGGTACCTGTGTTCGTCCAGAAGCACCGACCGAGTAGGGTTCGATGGGGCTCGGGAGCTTCTCTCGTTTAGGGTTAAGGGTATAAGGTTTAGGGTTTAGGGTAAAGGAATTTGCTTGGAGTTCGTTGGTTGTGGGTCGGAACTCGAGGCGCTGGCAATTTCTTTCGGCAGTTGGTCGAACTGAAAGCCCGAGCCGAGCATGAACAGTCATGGGTCCTTCCTTATAGCGACCTTGAAAGGAAGCCTAGGAACCCTGAGGGGTAAGGGTTGAGGGTTTAGGGTTATCAAGGCCCTTTTCTTGACATGAGTTAGTTTCAAGTTTGCTGGTATTTCATGAAGACCTTGAGAGCCCAGCTTGCCGGCATACAACCAAAGCTCGTGCTGAAAAAGGGTTATCAAGGCCTATCATTGTGCTTTGATGTCTTGAGACCTTGGGAGCAGCGAGGAGCTGGGCGAGAGCGCCGAGATGACCGAGATTGCCTTGAAGCCCCCTGTCGAGATGAACTCTCCTCAAAGGGTAAAAGGAGGGACCCTAATAAGGACCCCTAGGTATATACCCATAATGCAGCCATTATATACCCATTTTATAGCCCATTATAGGGTAGGGGTCCCCATTAAGGGTCCCTCCTTCTCCCCTTTGATATCAGGGCCTGATAGGGTTCCTTCGAGGGCTCTTGAAAGGATTCCAATAGGGCTCCTATAAGGGTTGATAAGTTGAAGAGGATTTTCGGCAGTATATTGCGCTATACTTATGCTCGGGAACCCTGTCGGAATCGCAATGTAGGATTTTCGGTTGGCTGGTTAGAGTTAAGGGTTTTGGAGTTGGGGTTTGGGTTGGGGTTTGCGGTTTGTTGTCCAAGGGTTTCGGAGTGAGGCTTTTGGACTAGGGCTCCAGGTATGTAGCGCATCTGGTCTGAGATTTTGGTTACTTGCAGGGTTGCAGTTTAGTGCAATACATATACAGGTCTGGACAATTAGTAAACATGTCCCTTATTGTACGGGAGCATACTAAAACATATAGTATGTACGATATCGAATATAGTGTTCCCTATATTGTACATACGATGCACATATAGTTTATATTATGTTGTATACCATACACCACCTGGTAGATACTAATCTGTACCTGTACCACGCCAATGCTGTACTATACCTTACTACTATCCTAAACCCTAAACTCTAAACCCTAAACCGTACTAGCGCATGTCTTCCGATGACGGCGTTGCAGGAGATCTGACCTCATTGGACCGAGAAGTGAACCCGGAAGCCCAATTCCTACGGGAGTTTGCGAAAATTAGGGGTATCTTTTTTTGGGCCCTTATAATCGGGATTCCACTATTTAGGGTACTATATTAGGGTCCCCTATTTTCGGAAACTCCCATATGTAGATGCAGCAGTAGATGTAGATGTAGCAGTGGCAGTAGTATCTGTCTCCAAACACAAGCTGAAATCGGATTTGCTTTGTGCAGTGTATGGGCCAGGTCTTAGAAAACACAACCCTGAACCCTCAACCCCACATTGGCCCAGAGCCATTTTTCCAGGATGGTCCTTGCCAAGTTCATCAATGAGCCGCGGGCAGGCGAGCGAGAAGATCGCGCTTGCTCAGTCGTGGGCACTTGGTGTTATCTGCAGTATCACCGTTAGCAGTGTCATGTTTATTATGGTTACAATAATGTAGGCTACCATTACTACCTACTTGGGGGCTTTGGGGTTTAGTGTCTAAGGTTGGGTTTTCGGGGGAAGGTTTGAATGCTTGCTGTTTCGGTGCCAGGGCCTGGGCCTGGGATATCCGAAGTCCCGATGCAAGCCCGGCTTGAGGGTTCAGGGTTTAGGGGTCCCAATATTAGAGCGGTTTGGGTTGGGTACTGCCCCCTCTCAGTCGCAGTTGGATACTACTCATAATCTAGATATATTAGGTCCTTAATAGTAGCCCTAATAGACTGTTACTCTACACTTCAACATAAAAATGACACCTATTGCGAAGCCTACACCAAGAGTGCGATCCCTGGACAAGTCCGTTCTCCAGACGCGCTTGCTGATTTCTGAACCTGGCTTTCTCCGAGTCTTATGTGGCCTTTCTTATTACTACTATGTTTCTAGTGTCTAACTTCTATTGCTATAAGTAATTCTGCGAGTAGTATGCTCACTAGGCATTGTTATGGTGATGATGATGATGATGATGATGATGACGAGGATTATCATTACGACTATCCGAGCCAAAAGCTCGAAAGCTTAACCCGAGGCCCTGCGCGATACATCAGCGTGGGGGGGGGGGGGTTCCAAACTGATGGTTCTCGCAGGGCAGCTTACCTAAACATCTCATTACACTATGCACGCAGAAAGAGGATCAACATGCAATGGCAGGACCTTGATATAGGCCGTGCACATCAAAAAGCCAAAGCTTCCTGAACACCTGGCCTGCCCCCAAAATCCTGTCTCTAGTCCTTAAGCCCAAAATTCATACAAGTGAAACACCCTAAACCCCAAACCAAGACCAAAAGACACGAGGGTTCAACACAAAAACAAACCCTAAATCCGAGAGGAGACGAGTCCAAGGAGTTCATGAAGCGCGTCTCTGAGGACGCCCCTGTAGCGCCTTTGTGGAGCTGTCTCAGACCGGTTTAGGGTTTAGGGTTAAACCCTGAACCCTAGTTGAGAGGGCGTAAACACTAAACCCTGAACCCTCAGCTGTACACCCGAAAACCCGGAGCCCCAAAGCTAAACCCTGAACCCTAAACCCTGAACCTTGTCCGAGTGTGAGCGCCGAAACCCTGAACCCCCCAAAAAGCCCTATAAAAAGGACGCCATGAAGAAGCTCGCGAGCCTTACGGATCAGGGGAGGAGCAGCTAAGCTGCTCTTAGGGGTTTCGGGGTTTCGGAACTGTGAGACTTTGGGTTCAGAGTTTAGAGGCTGAGGGTTTAGGGCCGTTTGGGGTGTGTGGCTTGGGGCTTACTTGGAGGGTCGGGGGACTTAGTAACTGGTTATTTTGGGGACTTATAAGTACCATAACCCCAATTAGGGTCCCTTTTAGGGTACTTATAAGTCTACTTACTACCTACTTACTAAGTCCCCCGACCCTCCAAGTAGAGGCTCTGTAAGGGTTCCTGACGAATGAAAGGTCCTCTAGGGGTTTCAGAGGGGCTGTTAGGCTGGCGCCTGGACCCACGTCCAGACCCTAGACGCGGGATCTTCGACATTTCGTCACCGAGCCCTTCAGGGTGAGGAACTTGTGTGTGAAACTGTCTATGCCGGTCATGCTTAGATAATCTTTCGTCAGTGAGTCATTCGAGAACCATAGGCGAACGAGCCAAGAGTTCTGGTTACACACTATCAACAACACGCTATGAACACAGTATCTGCAGACAAACTATTCAAACACTATGAGTAGACAGTGTTATGTTAGCCGCTACGATTTTAATAAGGGATCGTGGAGTCCTGCTGAGGTCGCAACCAAGCGAATTTGAAAAGGTTGGCGAACGAAGCGTTCAAGGTTTTGGAGGCCGTGGGCATTGCGAAGTGCTGCAGGTGTAGGGTTAGGCATCTGTAAACGAGGGTACTTCATAAGGAATATACCATGATTCCCATAGTTTAGGGACCTTAAGGTAATGCAGGATTTATATCATCAGCCGTACTACTTAGGCTTCTAAATCAGAGTCCAGCGAATCTGAAACTCCTCAGTCTAGGGTAGCCAGAGACTCCAAAACCCCTTAATTAAGGAATATACCTTAAATTATAGTAGGATCCCTTATATGATTTAAGGAATATTCCTTGCCGGGCCGTAGCAGCCTGTCAAGCACGGCACTTTAGGCTTGCTTAGGGTTTAGGGTTTAGGGTTTAGGGGGAGCAAAACGAGATTCGAATAAGTTTAGGGCTCATGTCCGTAGGCTTCAGCGAGAGGAAAAGCAAGCCTTCTTCTCGGGCATAGGGACACGACGTTGTCGTTTGCTGGTTGGAGGACTGTTTGCAGAACTCAGCTCTTTATATATAATAATAATGATAAATATGTAAATATATATATATATATATATATATATATACTATATCTATATATATATATACACACACACACACATGTACATATGTATAGTGGCTCAAGCGGATTTGTCCCAAGCTACACTCGGCACAGCAGCGATTTGTATCCTGCAGCCATGGCATCTCCTCCGCAAGCCTTCGAGGCCATGCTAAGCCCTGCACTCCCTAAGCCCTGAACTTCCTAAGCCCTAGACCCCGGACCTCCTAAGCCCTAAACCTCGAAACTTCCTAAAACCCTAGACGCCCTAAGCGCCCTAAAACCCGCGACTCCCTAAAACCCTAGACTCCCCAACACCCTTTCGAGCCTTCCACAATGTGGATTCCGCCGACCTTAACTGCTAGGAGGAATAAGGCGTTCAAAAAAAAACCTAAACGCTAAACCATGCTAAGTCTGCTGCTGTTCAACCATGTACCCTGCAATGCGGGCTTCGTCCCTGCCAAGTAGGAGGGAAAAAACCCTAAACCCTAAACCCTAAAAAAAGGACCCCTATAGGTATATACCCTTGATATAGCTATTATATACCCATTATATAGCCCACTATAGGGTAGGGGTCCCCATTAAGGGTCCCTCCTTTTCCCCTTCGATAAAAAGAAGACTTTCGAGGCCATCCACGTGGAGTCCGAGGATGAGGCGAAGAACTCTTCCGCGAACTCCCGTGGTTGGATGAAGAAGCCTGGGTTATAGGGGTTTAGGGTTTAGGGCTTAGGTTTAGGGTTTAGGGTTTAGGGGTTTAGGGTTTAGGGTCTAGGGGTTTAGGGTCTAGGGTTTAGGGTTTAGGGCTTAGGGCTTAGGGTTTTGGGAGTAACAGTACCCTGTGGATCCAAAAAGCTACTGTTTTAAGGGTTAGACACTCTAAAAAGCTACCGTTTTAAGGGTTAGACACTCTAACGAAAGGGTCTGAACCTACTATTTTGTAGGTTTTGGGTGTAACAGTAATTACCATCCTTTGATACCCTTTCTTGGGAACGGCTCCTTAAAGGAACCAGTTAAGAAACCATGACTTACCATAAGACACTATAACATACGATAGTTTGCTATAACATATTATAATATACGATAGTATGCCATGATATACTACAAAAAACTTAGTACCCTAAACCCTAAACTTGAACCCTAAACCAACCCTGAACCGCCACTAGAAGTGTATGGCTCTTTTCTGCCTTACCCAACGAAAATTAACTCCTAAACACTATAGAGCCCTTATAGATCCCTTCTTAAAGGATCCCTTTAAAGGTACCCAACCTTTTTGTCGAAACTCTAGGCCCTAAACCCTTTATAGAACCCTTAACAGGACCCTTAAAGGATCCCTTTAAAGGATCCCTTTTTAAAGGTACCCCCTAATTTTCGGAAACGCCCACTTTCCAAGCCCAGGAAGGCCGCCCTGGCCCTGGCTCTGGGCCTGGGTGTCCTGGGCTTCGCGGCCATGCCGAAGCTTGGGATTGTTTTTTTAAAATTCAGGAAGGGTTAAGGGTTTAAGGGCTGAGGGTTTAGGGAAGTTTTTAACTTCAGGAAGGGTTTAGGGTTTAGGGTTTAGGGTTCAGGATTCGTTTAACTTCAGGTTTAGGGTTTAGGGTTTAGGGCTTTTAACTTGAGGAAGGTATGACAGCATGGGTCTCTTCTTAGGGAAGGTATCATAAGTACAGGTTTAGGGTGTAGGGTCGACATGTTCGAAGAGCCCAGCTTCAAAAAATTGGCCCGGAGTTTGTGGTTTAGAGCTTGGGGTTTAGAAAAAAAGGTTAGGGCATCACAAGATGGGTTTAGGGTTTTGGGTGTAGGGCCCTTGCTAAGGAAGGTGTAATAATTATGGGGCTCTTGTTCAGAAATTTATCATAGCATGGGGTCCTTGTTAAGAAACTTATCAAAATTATGGAGGCCCTATTAGTACTTGCGATGGCTCCCTATTAATTTTCTAGGGTAACTTGAAGATTCACTTCTCTTGCAAGAGCCCTACCACCCTCAACCCTCAACCCTAAACACTATTGATACCTGCCTTAACAAAGGCCCGAAACCCTACTTGGAGGTTCATGGGTAGTTACAAGTAGGGTTATAAGTAGGGTAACTATACTTATAACCCATATTAGGGGATTTATAACCCACTTGTAACTACCCATGAACCGCCAAGTAGCAAGAGCCCAGGAAGGCACAGAGGTTCTGCCAGGGGTTGGACCTCCTCGCCTTCCAGGGCAAGTCGGACCTCGGATTGGACGCGCAGATGGCTCTCAAGGCGGATGCGTTGAAGGGTGTTACTTTGTCACAGTTGGGTCACATTTTACATTTTTTGTGGGTACTTAAACTTAATAAGGACGTTTTGAGATATGTTTTGATACTATCCCAACCATGAACTAGGTTAAGAAGCACTCGGCCGCAGAGAAGATCGTGCTGAAGGCCATGAAGAGCACCGGCCGCAAGTATTCCAAGCACTTCCAGCAGCGCGAGGTTCGTGCTCTCCCGGCAGACCCTGCCGACGCCGCCAGAGAGATGCTGACCAAGGACGAGATTGTGGCTTACAAGGCGACGAGAAGGCAGCAGCGCATGCGAAAGGCCACCAATGCTTACTGTGCATTCAATGTGCTGGAGGCCTTCGTGTCCGTGGTCGGTATGGGGGATGACATCAACGCGATCATCAGGACTTGTCCTGCTCCTCGTGATGGTGAGTCGGAGCTTGCCTGTCAGGTGAACGGCGCCATTCTGGTGACCTGGGTGGCAAATGCGGCTGCCAAGCTTTCCTATGCCGCCACGAACTGTGCCCTCAACCTCAATGTGGATGCGGTGTGCTCCGTCGGCGTCACTGGCCTCGTCTCCGTGATGGGGGAGCTGGCAGCGACTGCTTCCCTCGCCGCGGCCACATGCACAGGGGTACCCCCTCAGCTGACAACCACCAAGATCAGCGTTCTCGGAGACCAGACGGTACGGGATGGCCGACGACTGCTCATTGGAGAGGGTCCGATTGGAGTTGGAGTGCAATGTGGAGTGAACGTCGGCATGGTGGTCGCCAACCTCGCCAACATGGGCCTCTCCATTAACTCGGCTGTGAACAGCGGCCAATGCGGCCGCGTCAACCTCAATGGGCCGCTCAACAAGGTCACAGGCATCTACACTGCACTGTGCACGGTGGACATCGGCGGTGCCATCGCCTACATGAGCCAGGTCGTTACCTTCATCAACCTGATCGTCGTACATTGCCAGGACTTCCTGGACGTCAGCGCGCTCTGTGGTGCCAGCATCTCCGGCATCATCACGTCCGCCGCTGCCATGGCCCCGTACGGCGCCGCCGTGCATGCTGCCTGCGCCAAGGGCAGCATCTTGAAGAACCCCGAGGCGCAAAAGAAGATCAGCGAGCTTTACACCGTGCCCACCCCAAGGCGCCTGGAGGAGCTCAAGGAGCTGAAGGACAGTCAGGAGGGCGTTTAGGTTTTCCTGAAGGGTTTTTTTTGCCACCTGGCGCTGTAACTGTACCCACTTGAAGCTTTTTCGCGTCTAGAGTCGAGGTAGCGGTTTTCCTCAAGGGGGTTCTGCTACCTGGTGCTGTACCCACTTGAAGCTTGTTTGAGTCGAGAGTCGAGGTGGCCTCACCCCCGGCGTCAGGACGCCATGGCCAACCTAAAGGGCCTCCGCCAGCAGTTGGAGGCCAAGCTGGGCTTCAATGCCTCAGTTCCGACCATGTACTCCGAGGCAAACCTGGAGCAAATGATCCAACTTATGGATGACGGGGTGGCCGGCGAGGAGACGTCCACGCAGGAGGAATGCGAAGAGTGAGCCTATGAGAGCCAAGAGCTTGGACAGCTTCGACTCTCTGGACGTTGGCAATGACTGCGTTCAGAACACGGCTACAGTATGTGCAGTCCGAGGGATATCAGTCAACGATTGTATCCCGAGTTCAATTTTCTGTAGCAGATGGCGATGACTGACACCATATGTCTGTTTGTGGCCTGCTAGGTATGTATGAATTTATGCATGTATGCTTGCAGGCATGTATGCATGATGTGCGTATGTCTGTATGTCTGTCTGTCTGTATGTATGTATGTACGTATGCATGTACGCATGTACGTATGTATATACGTATCATGGTTAGTGTTACGTAGGCATGAGTGCATGCACGTACTGTTATGTATGTTATGTTGCGCCATGATATGTTGTATTTGGTTGTGCTGTGTTAGGTTGTGTCAGGTTGTTTTGTTTTGCACCGTCTTATGTTATGTCATATCTGATTGTTTGCACTGGTATGTTGTGCTATGTTATGTTATGTTATGTTATGTTATGTTATGTTGAGGTATGTTATGGTATGTACGTAGTACATATGCATGCATGTATGTGTGCATGTACGGATGTATGCAAGTGTGCAGGGCATGACTGAGTATGTATTCCTGCTTGCATGCATATATAGGCATGTTTGCATGTATGTATGTATGCATGCATTTATGTGTATGTGTTTGCGTGTGTGATCGTGTCTGTGCTTGTGTTTCTGTCTCGTCTCGGTCTCTGTCGGTGTCTGCTCGCGTGCGCGCGTGTGTGTGTGTGTGCGCACATGTGTATGTGTGTGTGTTGTGTAGGTGATTTTTCCTGATATGTGTGTGCATATGTACGTGCATGTGTATGTGCATGTGTGCATGTATTTGCAGATGTCACATGCATGTTTATGCACATATGTACGTGTAGAAGTGTGTTCATGTGTGTTTATACCTGCAGGCGAGCGTTCCTCTTTATATATTCGTATACATATTCGTGTGTGGGCAAGCTTGTAGATGTACCGGTATATGCATACGTACATGCTTCTGTCTAGGTAGGCATTGGATTTGGTATTGGGTATTGGTATTGGTCCACGTGCATCTACATGCTTTTGCTGTGTGTATGCACATCACATTAGTGTGCATTCATGTGCACTTATGTATGCATGCATGTATGCATGTTTGTTTATATGAATCAAAGATACGGATACCTGTCATCGTCAAGTTGGAGCTTGCATGCTGCGTCGTGATTTCGACTTTTAGACGGATACATGGTTCCTTCCCGTATCTTGCAACACCCATTTCCTGTCCGAATGTTTGACGTGCTACTCGGAACCGTAGTTTTGCCAGTCGCATCTTCATGTTTCGGCCAGAAAAGACTGGAGGATGGGTTGTTTTGTGAGGCTTGCATCGCCTCATTCGTGGGCTGGGCGTGGAATATACCGTGAGAGGAGAAGTTGAAGACGGCCGATGGATGGCACAGGTACCACCAGAGGGTCCCAAGCCCTGCTGCTTCTGCAGCAGCGGCTGTGGCCGACTGACATTTGAAACAGTAGCCGCGATTTCTCTCTGCTCAGACTTGTCTCTTGCATCCACATGCCCGTGCCGAAGGAAAAGGCAACTGTGACATTTTAGGCCTCCTGCTATTGCGCCCATGTCTGATGCTTCAGAGAAAGTGGTTCTGATTTTGGTAGCATCGTAGCAGTGGTTAGCACGATTAGGATTTAGGGATGCCTTGGCCGACGAAGCACCACTCAGAAGTCGCGATGTCTCCCCTGAGCCTTGACCTTAAACCCTCCACCTTGATCCCTTGTCCTCAACCTCAACCCTAAAGTTGCTCTAAACCTTTAGCCTAAGTACTAAGCCTACAATCCTGCTCCGAAGCCCTAAACCCAAGAGCCTGTACCCCGAACTCCAAGACCTCCTAAACTTCAATCCGTACTCTCGGAGGAGTGCCACATCAACATCACCCGCGAGGTTTTCCAAGCCTGGCTGAAGGTCAGAGAGTTTAGGGCGATTTTTTAAGGGCGGTTTTGGGGTTTAGGGTTCTGCGGTTTGATCAGTGTCCGCAGGCATGTGGAATGACGTGAATGTTTGTTCTTCTGAACAACGTGCTCTATTTCCCCGCCACTACTTTTTTCTTATTGTTGCCACGACTACTACTACCACTGCTGCCACAGCTTCGGCTCCCACTCCTACTCCCCGCACCCCGGCCTACGCTGCCACTGCTGCTGCTGCTCTTGCTCCTGCTCCTGCTGCCGCTGCCACTGTTGTTGCCACTGCCACGGTTATCGCCACTGCCACTGCCGCACTGCTGCTGCTGCTGCTGCAGCTGCAGCTGCGCAGTGCTGCTAGTGCTTAGTACTAGCATTACTAGGAGTAGCACTAGTATTAGCATTAGCACTAGCACTTGCCGCTAGCTGCTAGTTGCTAGCCACTGTCTGCTAGCTACTACCTACAAGCTGTTGTAGCTGATGGCTTCTAGCTTCTTCCTGTACTCCGACTCCTACTCCTCCTTTTCGTTCTTACCGTTTCTGTTGTTATTGTTGCCGTTGTTTGCACGGTCACTCTTGCTATTCAGTTTGGTTGTTTCCTCGGCATGCAATGTTTTTTGTGATTGCTGTAACTTTTCGAGGTTTATCGCAGTGCTTTCCTGATGTTGTGATCGTTAACACTGTGGTGCGATCACCCATTGTAAGTGCGTAATACGCATCGCTGGCAGTTCAAGCACTGCTTTGAGCTGCTGTCAAGCTTGCTGAAAATCGTTTCCACAACCCCAGCTCAAAACCCAATGCCTGAACCTAAAACTCCTAAATCCTGAACCCTAAACCCAAATGCCTAAATCCCTTGTGATGGAGGATCAGGAGTTCGTCCGTGTGCTCGAAGAGGCGGACGTGGATGTGTCAAACAAGCCCCTTCAGCTTGATCATTGTTATTGCCATTACTGATCTTATCATTGTCGTCATTTTCTATTGCTACTAGTATTATGTTACTGTTATTACCATTCTTGTTAGTAGTACCACAGATACAGAACGCATCAAAACATTCCGACATGTCCTCTCATGATTACTATGTTTATTTCTATCGTAATTTCTAGTAGCATTAACCGGTCGTCTTGGTGTTTAGTTTTGGGGTTTAGGGTTTTGGGTTTAGAGTGCTGCCTAAATTCTCGATGATTTCATTTCTGACCCAAGGAACATTGAAGAGATTCTACCGGATGCCCAGAACCACCCTATGCAGTCGACAAGCCGCACCAACTCAAGTCGTAGGTCCTAAGCCGGAAACCCTCTTAAACCCTTCCTGACCTACTGTAAAGCTTCGACAATAAACGACCGTGAATCGCAGACATCAGACCTAAAGTAAAAAAGGCAATCCGAGTGTTATTGAACCTCCAGCCCGCTAATGCCAGGATTCCTGGCAGGGAGGGGCTTCTTTTGAGGGGTTCATGGGTTCGTACAGGGTTCATCTGGGAGTTTCCGAAAATTAGGGGTACCTTATTTTGGTGTCGGGTACTGTATACTGGTCCCCTACTTTCTACTCGGGCAAAGATCCGCCCCCGCATTGTTGACTGACCCATTCAGCCTTACACTACATACAGGGCCGCATCCTATTCCGCACCCAAATCATAAACCAACCCCAAACCCTAAACCGCGAACCCTGAAATCTGAATCTAAGAACCTTACAACCAAACCCTAAACCCAGGTTTGAGCTGTTTAACATCCTGGATGTGGCCGCTGGGCTGTTGCCAGTTCTCTCCGTGTGGGCGGATTGCAGACCTTCGAGTTGATAGAGCACAGAAATTTCACGTATACACATGTATATCTATCTAAATGGTGTATGAAAAGTATATATGTATGCATCTGTACAAAGGATCCTGTTAGGGTCCTGGTTACATGGGTGTCGTACTTTTTTGGGCCCGGAACGGAAGCTAATACAGATAACTGCCCATATGTATATATATATATATATATATATATATGTACACACTCATATATAAGAGTACATATGTTTATATGTTTATATGTATGTGTATATATATATATATATATATATATTTATATATATATATATATATATATACAGATATATGCGTAGATGGATGTGGATGTGGAGAAGCCTAGACTGCTTGATTGGTTCGTGTGGTTTGGGGTTTCGGATTTTGTTGGAGTCCTGACGAGACGGAAGACCTCCTGATTGGAAGGTGCACGAATTCAAGAAATGAGTTTCCCCAATATAGCGGCCTCAATAAATACCAATACTGTTTGGGGTTCCTTGTTATAATTATAGTATGATGGGCCCAGAACCCTATTCTGAAAATTAGGGCCCCTATGGTATATAAGCTCAACAGCTTGTCCAGTCTTTCCCTAAGCCTGAGCCCAACGTGGACTCTTCCCCAAGAATGAAGGAAAGTCCGACATGTATCCCTAAACCCTAAACCCTAAACCCACAGGATATGGGCGGCGAATTATCCGTGGAAGAGCTCCTGCACCTTGCCCAAGACTTCTGCGACGGGACCGACGTTAATAGCATAGAAGAGGAACCCTGAAGACTCATCCGGTTTGTGCGGATCTGCTTGCGGCATTCTGCTGCGGACATCAGGTTTCTGTTTAGATTGCATGAACTATGTTTCTGAGTTGGCCGGATGATTCGGGAAAGGGAGGCTTGGAATGTCCGGAGAGGGTAAAGCCAATTCTAAGTCCTTAGCCTCGAAAGCTGAATCAGAGTGAGTGGTCTCGGCGTCGCACATGTCGCCGGCGTGTCTTACCTTGGCGGCAGTGGCTAATTAAACAGACGGCCGGTGTGTGTGTGTGTGTGTGTGTCTGTGTTTGTGTATATATATAACTACATATATGTTTTTATATAGATATACACACACACACACATGCGTGTGTGTGTGTGTGTGTGTGTGTGTGTGTTCGGTTTTACACTCTGGATGTATGTATAATATGTATGTATGTGCGGACATATGGAAGGGGATGGATGGACGGGTGGATGGATGGATTGACGGACGGACGGACGGAGGGATCGATG